GTTGGTTTACTGGTTACTATACTATGCAGATTTATACCCCTTGGTATGATTTTTAATGGAGGTACAATGAAAGCCATCTATAATTCCTAGAATATACAGCCAATCATCTTGATATTTACAGGTAATCGTCTACATATCATGTCTTACAACCATGACAATTTTCATCAATGTGTATCAATTGGTTGCTTTGGAAACATAAATCATTTTTTCAAAAGTACACATTAAGGGAGGTACTATGAAAGCCATATATAATTCCTAGAATATCTAACCAATCATCTTGTTATTGGCAGGTAGTTATCCACTCACTATGTTCTTCCACTATGACAAAGTTCATAAATGCGGGGCAAATGGTCGCTATGGTAACAGAAATCATTGTTAAAAAGTACACATTAGGGCGTACTATGAAAGCCATTTATAATTCCTTAAATATCAAAACAATCATTATGATATTTACAGACAATCTACTACTTATCATGTCCTACCATGATGACAAGTTTCATCAATGTGGGTCAAATGTGGGTAGAAATCTATTCGTTAAAAAAGTACACATTTCGTAAAATTTTAAGACACACCCTAAGACATTGAAAATCTTCATCAAATTGGGAGGAATTAGCATGAAAACATTTTTAAAAACCTATTTTGAGTATGTCTGATAATATTTAATCAATGGATATTTCATCTGGGCCATTTGATATATTGTATTTGCTTATGATAATAAAACTATGCAGTAAATTATGAGCTGATCTCACTTAGTCATCTTTTATATCATTTGCATCAAAATCCTCATTCATAGATCTTTCAACGTCTACTTCTGTCAAAGCATCCGTTGCAATCTTTATGTGACTATATGTCTATGAGATCATCAGGTGGAATGGGTTGGTCTGGCCAATTTGGCTCTATTTTGCCATCAACAAGTTACCACGTCACTTGTAATAAACAAACTAAGAGATATATACAACTATTACACCCAATTAAAAATATTGGAAATGCTTCTTAATGAATTCTAAAAACAATTAACAGTTGAAAAAAACCATCAGACATAAAAAAAGTTGAGAACAACAGCATGTATTACTCTGAGTGTAAAACATGTCCGTTGTGTTACGCGGTATATGGCATACATTCATGGTTGCACGGTATTTGTGATACGGGTGAATATGTCATACTCACCTGCGGTATATGGCATATTCTGCAGGTGAGTATGCGATATTCCGCATTGAATATGCGATACACTGATTTCAGTGAATACCCGATACTCACTTGCGGAATATGTCATACTCACTTGTGGAATATCCCATACACCACAGGTGAATATGACATATACTGCAGGTGAAAACGTGATACAGAAAGCCTTGATTTGATTGGTTGCGAGAATCGACTCTAAATGTAAAACTACGCTGGATTACCAATATAGTTTGTGCGTCGAGTACTAATATAGGAATCCTGGATTGATTGAGTAAGTTTATTACGCGAGATTGGTGACTGATACTTCTGCTAAGTTAATATATTCGATACACAGTACTGTTGATTCAGTAATCACTATAATAATTTACAACGTTTTACTTGTTCGTTCAATCGATGCAATTGACAATTGCACACTTCCGTATCACGTTCTCATTGGTTAGTGTGTATGCCATATACCGCAGGTGAATCTGTCATACACCGCAAGTGAATATGCTATATTCGTTGCAGAATATGACATATTTTTGTATCGTGTTTACCGCGTAACACGTTGATGACCAGTGATGGCAATAAAGCGTCCACTGTTGTGATTGATGAGATGTGATAAGTTTTATGAAATGTTTCCATGCTTATTTCTCCCAAAATGATGAACATATTATGTGCTTAATGTCAAAGGTTACATGAGTCTTAGATTTTTACAAAAATGTGTACTCTTTTAACAAATGATTTCTGTTACCATAGCAACCAAATTACCAACATTGAGGCACTTGTTATACTGGTAGGACATGTAAACGGATGATTATCCGTAAATATCAAGACGATTGATTGAATATTCTAGGAATTATACATGGCTTTCATAGTACCCCCTTAATGTGCACTTTTTAACAAATTATTTCTGTTACCAGAGCAACCAATTGACCAACATTGATGGCACTTGTCATACTGGTAGGACATGATAAACAGATGATTACCTGTAAATATCAAGATGATTGATTAAATATTCTGGGAATTATACATAGTACCCCCTTGATGTGCAATTTTTAAGAAATGATTTCTGTTACCATAGCAACCAATTGACCAACACTGATGGCACTTGTCATACTGGTAAGACATGATAAGCAGATGATTACCCATAAATATCAAGATGATTAATTGAATATTCCAGGAATTATACATAGTATCTCCTTAATGTGTATTTTTTAATAAATTATTTCTGTTACCATAGCTACCAAGTGTTAAACATTAATGAAACTTGTCATAGTGGTAGTGCATTATAAGTAGATGATTACCTGTAAATATCAAGATGAATGGCTGTATATTCTAGGAATTATAGATGGCTTAAAATCATACCAATGGGGTATAAATCTGTTTACCATAGTAACCAGTTATCCAACACTGATGAAATTTTCCATGATAGTCAAACATAATGATGTGAATAATATCTGTTAATTTCAGGACAAATGGTTACTTAATTTCTTCAAAAAGTTGAACACAAATAAAGAATTCTTTGGAAAAGTGCCACATCCCCTTTCTAAATTTACTTGCATTGCCATATACTCATCAGCAATAGATTCCACTGTGTGGATAAGATAAAACAGCAGTTGATTTAATATTATCAAATATACTTTGAATAAGTTTTCTAAAATGGTTTCATGGTGATTCCTTCCAGTTTCATGAAAATAATATGTGTTTTGTCTCATGGGGTATCTTACATTTTGACGAAAATGTGTGCTTTTTAACATATGATCTCCATTTCCATAGCAACCAGTTGATCAACTTTAATGAAACTTGTCATAATGGTAGGACATGATAAGTACATGATTACCTGGAAAAATCAAGATGATTGGCTCTATATTCTAGGAATGATATATGGCTTTCCAAGTACCCCCCTTAAAATTACACCAGGGGGGTATAAATCTGAATATTTCCAAAACGCTGAAAAACTAGACACCAATGATTTCAGAATCAATGTATAATAATAAACCACAAATAACCTATATGAAGAGAAATTTGCTACTTTTCAAAACCACTTTTACACCACGCTCATCCAGTATATTAGTAATATGGTGTGGAAAGCATCGATTGACAGATATTTATTGGGGGATGCAGGGAATTACAAAATGCGTCACTTTTACCGCAATTTAGAGTAAATAATGATGAACTTATCATTCTAGATCCTAGGACGAAGAACAACCAGACATGAAGCAAGCGTCGCTCGAATTTTTAGATTTTTTTGTTTCCAGTGTTTTTATGAATAACTGTGTAGAAACAATGGGAGCCAGGACTCGTATAGATGGCAGTTAACTACTAGGTTGTTCTCCACAACTGGCCTATTGGTTTATGTGTAAATATTGCTGTTTTGAATCTTCAAATTCTCTACATATATCAAATAAATATCATATTTTCCTTCATCATTATTTACAAACATGTTTAAGATTCAAAATTAGAAGTTTTGGATATTTTCAATAAAATTTATCTTTGGAGATTTTTGGAACATTTTTTACATGTTAAAGTATGCTATTAAACCTACTGAATTTTTCGCCATCTATTGACAGTCCTGAAGGCCATTGAAGTCATTTGGGGTCGCCTTTGTATATACTGGTTCCGTGGTCGTGGTTGTGGGTTTATCTCTTACCATCTCGAATGCGAAAGTGACGGCAGTTACCTTCGCTTGATATCGACCAGTGAGGAATTAAATCAGTGCAAATATTGTTTGAGATACACCCGGGGAGATACAACAGTGCAATAGAATACAATATATTATTTTATTCCGATACTATAAGAAATTACAGTTTAGATAAATTGACTGTAGGTCAATAAGATAATTTCATTTACAACTTTACTCAATTTAACGCATATCAGCAACAAATTCTAAATATATTATCTAACGGGAAGTAAAATTATTGGTTCAAGACGCCGATAGGCCTACTGGTGATCTAAGCTTACCTCCCTCACAATGCAATCCCATGCCTCATTCTTTTTTAAGCGTTAGCAGATCACTTACATGACTTAGAGAATACGTCAACACATCATACTTTTTTTCTATGATGTCCATCATAACTTCTAATTGAATACTGGAGAAAGCCTCCGAGCGTTGTTTTCCGACCTCGTCAGCCATTTTTTGAAGCAGAATGTCAACCCGAGGTCAAAATTTACAAGGGTCGCTATAAGGGGTCTAACTGACATAGGTGTCCTAATTAGTGACACCGGTGAAGGAGATGGCTTGCGGACACGGAGATAACATGCGGACACGCCCTGGATTTGCGGATAGCTTTGTGAATACGACGTAACGCAATAAATTGCGGACACGCAATAGGTCCGCAAATACATTGCGGACACGCAAGCTTGCGGAGCTTTCATGAATTAGGCCTCTGAACTATTTGTTCACAAATGTGTACATTTTCTTAAACATATGTCACTGATACACGTTTTTGATTAAAAATGTCGTGAGAATTCTGCCTACAAGGTGTGAAATAAAAAAATCAAAAAATCGTAGCTTCGATGTTCCGACATCGGTAACAAGCTTAATCGAGTGGATCACCAGTAAAAGCATAGATTCATGTTGTTACAGCCCACATGTGTGATATCAACCTTTTGAAATGAAATTGCTCAATTAGAAGCAATGTAAAGAAGTATATAAATTTGACATCATTTTCAGCCTAATACAAGCAAAAACTTGCTCATCCTTCTGCTTTATGTTTTTTATAAGAGTGTGATTTTTTTTGCTTACAATTTCTATTATGTTAAAATACAAATATCTACCCCTCCCCCTATTCAAAATTGGTTAAATGGCATCATTTTAATTCCAAATGGTGAATTCAAGAAAAACAAGATCAATTTATCAACAAGATCAACAAGATCAATTTATTCTAAAGATTGTCTAGAACAAACTGACACCAGGGAATCTTTTTCCCAGTCAAGTGATGAAATATAACCAAGGGTAATAGCAGTAATAAGATATTTACTTTTGATTTATAGCAGATAAATGATCATGATGGACAGAATGAGAAAAACAACACTCTCTGCAATGCTACTGACACTTCAGTTACTCCTAGGACTATGTGGGGTTTATCTGGTGGTGATGATATGGTTCACCTCAAACTACAAAACAAACACTCTCATTCCAACCGAACATCATGGATATAGGAGAGAAGTCAGTAGGACTTCTTTCTTCTCAGGAATATTCTTTGATACATATAAGAAAACAGAGAAAAACCACGTCGGTTCAATAGCCCCTTCAATATTTGATGAACACCATCCAGTACCACAGAATGTTACATCCAATGTTACATCCAAAATTGATCAAAGAACTATAATGGAAAATAAAACAGTTGAAGTTAATCCAATCAAAATTAAGAATGTTCCTAAAAAGAGGATATGGAGAAAACCTCAAGTTAAAAAAACTGTTCAGAAACCTCCAGCTAAAAAACAAATCAAAGTGGATATACCCAGACCTGATGATAAGCCTCGCCGACTATATTTAGAACATGGTTTGGGACGGCTTGGCAACAAACTTTTCCAATTTGCAGCTGCCTTTTCTATAGCAATCGCTAACAACATGACGCTCTATGTACCTTATGACACAGAGGTGATACGGATTTTTAATATATCACATATCAAAACATACACAGCACAGGATTATATCAGTTTCAGGGCATCTGGAGCAAAAATACAAACTATAAAGCATATAAGTTATGATCACTCGTTTATGAACTTAAAATGGAAGTACCACATAAAGCTACATAAGGGGGGTGTACAGACATACATGTACTTCTGGAAAGAGTACCAGTCACATATAAGGAGCTTGTATGTCTTTAACAAATTCATAAAATCTCAGATAAATGCCTATTTGGATGGATTGCAGAAGAAATATTCAATGCATGGTGAAATAACTTATGTTGGAATTCATTGCCGTCGAGGAGATCGTGCTTATGATCCTGCAGTTATTAATGCTGGTTATAAAGCCACGCCTGTTTCTTACTTCCAAAAGGCTATAAACTTAACACTTACAAGATATAAGACCCCAATTGTATATGTAGTAGCCACAGATGACCGAGATTGGACTACAAAAAACTTTAACCCCCCTGGGGAAAATACATTTTTTGAACATACCCCCTGGGGTTTGACTGCTGAATATGACATGGGCATTTTATCCAGTATGAACCACACAATTATGTCAACTGGATCATTTGGATGGTGGTCTGCATATTTAGCAGGAGGAGATGTTATATACTTTAACGAACCATTTAAGCCTAAAACTGTACGTTGGAAATTATGGAAAAAGTACTTTGAAACTCAAATGTATCCTAAAGAAGAAAATTGGCATGGAATGGGTGAATAATATCAAAACCTAACTTTGTGTTTAAAGCAAGGTCTTTATACAGAATGTTTGAAGATGTCATCATTTTTTATCCACCCATTCTTTCAAAAATAGTGTCATTACACCATCTTTTAATACTTGGAAATAATTTTTCAATGATAATTTTACTGTATTTGTGAAGTAAAATTCCTGAACCATTTTTATTTCAATAGACTAGATGCGAGGAAAAGAATCTTGTTTTATGTCATTAAATATTCAAAATTCAGGTTGTCATATTTGAAATCTACATGTAAAAGTCCATCTAGAAATATGGTTTCGTAAATTGTTTATCAACTTCGAAAATTTATTTTTTTGAAAATGTGACTTCTAGTTTAGGGAGATCCCCCATAGACCCCATGTTATGAAATCACAAAAAGTGAAATATCTTTCCTTGTATTGGACGGATAAAATTTTCTTTTACTGGGCATATTTTAATTTGCATAACTGTTAGAAAACAGATGTTATTTAAATTAGAGGGAACTTTCTACTATTCCTGACATGCTATCTGACCCGAACGAGCCACCTGATGGTGAAGCTGGAACTACCTACTCGCATCTGAGTTATTGAACTAATAATAGTCGTGGTCTATTGCATTGATGGATTAAAGTGCTCTTTACTTGTATGTTTGTTTTTATTATTTTTTAGAATTTAACATTGGTGTATGATAATATAATATTAAATTAACAATACTAACATTGACTTATTTAGGTAAACCTTGTTGTTTTCTCTATCACTGTTCCACAGCAGGTTTGTGGAAAAACTTTGTTCAGCATAGATATACCTTCAATTTCAGCTTAACCATGTAGAAGCTGGATTCCAAACATTTCACCATGCAAATTGATAAAGTTCAAATGTAAACAACTAAAAAGAAATGCTTAAGAAAAGAAATACTCTAGCATAATTATCCCACCGAATGAAGTTCGAGGGGGATATAGAGAAGCCGTCCGTCCGTTCGTTCGTCCGTGTCCGGGCGATAACTCCAATACCGGTTGACAGATTTGGTTCAAATTTTATAGGCTTATGCCTTATGAGTGTAGGACCTCTGCTCGGGAAGGAATTCTCAATATGGCCACTCAATTCAAAATGGCCGCCATTTTTCGTAAAAAAATGTAATCGTTGATAACTCAAATACAAGTTGACGGATTTGGTTCAAATTTAATATGATGATGCCTAGGGACAAAGGAGTTTCGCACAAAAAGAGATTTTCAAGATGGCCACTTAATTTCAAAATGGCGGCCATTTTCCGTAAAAATATGTAATCTTTGATAACTCAAATACAAGTGAACGGATTTGGTTCAAATTTTATATGATGATGCTTAGGGACACAGTAGCCATGCTCAACAAAAAATTTTCAAGATGGTGACTTAATTTCAAAATGGCGGCAATTTTTCGTAAAAAACGTAATCTTTGATAACTCAAATACCAGTGAACATATTTGGTTGAAATTTTATATGATTATGCCTAGGGACATAGTTGCTATGTTCAAGATATAATTTTCAAGATGGCGGCTGAATTTCAAGATGGCGGCCAATTTTCGTAAAAAACGTAATCTTTGATAACTCATATACCAGTGAACGGATTTGGTTCAAATTTTATATGATGATGCCTAGGGACACATTTGTTATGTTCGACAAAGAATTTTCAAGATGGCCGCTTTATTTCAAAATGACGGCAATTTTTCGTTAAAAAAACATAATCTTTGATAACTCAAATACCAGTGAACGGATTTGGTTCAAATTTTATATGATGATGGCTAGGGACACAGTTGCTTTCTTCAAAAATGAATTTTCAAGATGGCCATTGAATTTCAAAATGGTGACCATTTTTCGTAAAAAAACATAAAATTTTGATAACTCTTAATACCAGCGAACGGATTTGTTTTAAATTTTATATGATAATGCCTAGGGACACAGTAGCTCTGTTCGAGGAAGAATTTTCAAAATGGCAGCTGAATTTCAAAATGGTGGGATTTGCTACTCCGTGGAGTCGCTGTTTTTCTAGTATTCACCATTGATTAAATTAACTCAATGCAATCTACTCTTCCCAGGTATTAGTATCATCCCCTGTTTGAGCATCTTGGATTACTTAGTTAGGAGGTTTTCATGCCTTGGAATTTGAAGCTGAAATCCTTGCCCAAAATACAATTATTTTGTCATAGATTGACAGTTCTGATGAATGAGACCATCATCATCTTATTCAGCCTACATTATGCTGATGTTTGAGCATTTCTTTTTATCTTTTTATAATCATAACGTAATTAGTTTGTATGACAAAAGATCCAGATTTTACCTGGTTTAGTTGAAATTGAAAGTTATCAAACTAATTTTGGCCACCATCCTGGGGTCTATTTCTCCAAATTCCGTAAGTTACAAACTCATAAGTTCATTGTTCTTTCTTAAACTTACAGAGATTTTGCATATATCTCAAAAATGGTAGATTTACGGAACTAACTACATACCTTAATGGCGGCTCTTTTGAGATTAAAGATGGGAGATTGTTTAAAGTGGCAACAAGGCCTGTAGAGAGAATAATTGAAATTTTTTACTTTTTCTGAACTATATGGCTACATGATTATTTCATAACACATTTTTATTTCATATTTCAAAACTTCAAGGCGCATATAATGGAGATACAAAGATTAAATAATTTGGTGATCTTGATAAAATATTGAATGGGTGGGGAATTTGAAATATATTTTGATTTAATAAATTCAAGAATTCCAAGTACAAATTGCAAATTTTTCAAACATTGTATTATCATCTGATTTGAAACTTTAATATTTTACTTTGTTAAGTAATTCATTAAAAATCATTGGCTTTCAATTTAATTAACATGTTTATAACTATAACTTGGTTTGAAGAATTTAGGCCAACAAAATTTAGTTTACATTGAATTTCATAATTTATTGTCAAATACTATTTGTTTGTAATATAAAATCAGTTTCATGTAACATCAACTCTTGGTTATTCAATATTTAATCCTACTGGTATAATTTCACAATCAGGCTGAGTGGTTTATGATTGACTCAAAATTGTCAGAATTTTTTCCACATTATCAACCATTGTTTTGTCTAACAATAATATATGATTAATGTTTTAGTATAGACCTCTATATTACTTTTCATTTTATTGCTCGAACTGAGGAAAAATATATGAAAAATACATAGTTGACTAGGGTTCGAGTTGACTTAAGGGTCCGAGTTGACTAGAAACCTTCTGCCTTATAGGGATGCATCTCAAAATAATTACCGTAGCTGACTTTCTTTTATTATATGGATTGTGAAATTGAATAAAAGTGAAGTTTTTATTTTTTACTAAATATTTAAAACATTTATAAGGGCAACGTCTAGGTTAAATGTCTTGATAATACAGTTTTCAAGCAGTAAAACTATTTATCAAAAGAAACAGCTTGGAATGTAAAGAAACGTTGACCCCATAATACTTTTAAAAACCTGTGAATGTACCTAGGGTAACAAATGAAGTGCTAAGACTCTGATTTCAATGCAGGCATGTTAACTTTGTGTCTGAACTTAACAAATTGTATCAAAAAAGAGTTACAATAAATGGATTCTGGTATTTCAAACATATGCCAAAAGTATTTGTTGTATTTGAGTGGCCTCTTAATAAACAAATAGATAGAAATAGCTGGATTTCAAGATTGCAAATAGTCTTAGGAAAACATTTACAGGTATTGTACACCATTGGCCTAGCTCCAACTGTGCTTCATTATGGAGAAATCAGCTTTCTCATCATGTGACCCTTCCATGTGAAATTGAACTAAAAAGTAAGTGTTCTTATTAAAACATTCATGACCCATGCTTCAAGTGAGCCCTCCCTACTCTTGACCCTTTCTATTTAATTCTTCTTTTGTGATTTATCGAAGCAACATAAACAAGTTTCACCCAGTGAATTTATTCAATAGACATTCTTTATAATGAAAAATATGACTTATGTGTCTGTTTTTAGGGACATATGAATACTACCATTTTAGTTCAAACACCCCTTTTAAGACCTGAATTTTGAGAATACTGATAAGATTATAAACCTTCAATCTGTATCTATAATCAGAATACTGTATATAGTCCATTTGTCATTTTCTTAACGTATGAATATTTAAAAACATGATGTTTTTCTGTGCAAATACTATCATAAGGGTTTATTGGAGTGATTTAGCTGGGTTGCCAAAAATTAACGTTGGGGAAATTTTTTGTATCTCTCACCATGGTAACATTCCAGGTACATGGTGGTATCCCGACGCTAAGTCAATAGTCAACGCCATGTTAAGCCAATGCACCCCTCCCTAATTAGCCGATATACTTTTTTGGGGGGTTGCATACAAATTCCTGTATAGAGGGATGAAGAAGTGAATTAGGGAGCGCATGCAATGTGAATGCCTATCTGTATGGAAAAGCAAAATGAGATCCCCACTTGAGAAATCCTGGCTATGTTCAGGGCTGTTGTTACAACAGCACTGACGGATCCAGAAGCTAACAAGGGGGGGGGGGCAAATATTTCAAGTCAGGATAAAACATTTTAGGCCCCTAAAACCAAAAATTGGTAGTATGAATACTTTGGTTTTGTGTTTTCATTATGTTGCCCTTATATTCTACCTTAATGATGTTTTAATATACCCTCAGGCTCTAGGTTGAATGCCTCCTGTATACCAACTGAGGTGATCATGCTACTATTGTTGAGAACACCTTTTATTTATTAATGTTCAATTTTTCATATGATATTATGTTTTTTAAGGGGTTATTTTATGATATATATGTTGCCCTTGTGTCCTAGCTTAATGATGTTTTGATATATCGATTGTTGAATGGTCAACATACTTTAAATGGTCACTAACATATCCCTAACATGATATTTAGAATGATGCCCATGGTTAAAGGCACTGAACTGAATGTCCTAATGACCTAATTTCATTTTGGATATGTTCATAATTGATATTTTATAATTATATTTCCATGTAATTTTCAATGAAACCTTTAGAGACATTCTTTAGTTACTTGGAGTAATGATACCCTTCAATGATAGACTTTGTCCTGAAAAAATAAATCTTCCAGATTTGTTGAATTTTCTAACAGAAGTCGCCTGCTCCCCCTCTGTTCATTTTCCCGATTCCAGCATGCTTTTAATCATGAAATAAATCACATGAGCGTCATGTGATATAACAATACAAACGACCAGTTGTAAGTTCAATCATATACGGCAAAGATAAAACGGCTTCCAAAAACACAGCGGTCGTAGAACTTACGACTGGTCGTATCTCAGTTCTAAATGTTTCAAATTACGACACGTTTTAAGTTACAACCCTTCTAGAAATTCTCCCTTGAGTTTGGTGAATTTTCTAGATTTGATGAACAACACCAATACGATTACATAATGCAAAAATATGGAGTATAAAACAGCAAGGCTTTTGCTGTTATCATATCGCAAAACAAACTGGTATATCATAAAATCATAGCTTTTCAAAACATTATTTCATTGTTTTTTGTGTAAATTGATATATTTTAGATCATGTACAGATCTTGGCGACAATGAAGTTGAGTTGACGATTATACGAGGGATCCAGCTGCATCTCCCCTCTGGCTATTCCCCTGAAGAACTGGACACTTATGTCACATATGAATTCCCATTCCCAAATGTAAGTCATAAAATCTTTCATAATATACATAAGGGTTATGTACTGGGAGGTTTTGGATACAGGGTTTATCCCGAGGGAAATTTCCCAGGATAAACCCTGTATCGAAAACCGACCGTACATAACAGATGTATTTCATACATGTTGAGGTTCTAGGTACATCATACCTTTTAAAGATCCAAAATTCCAAAACATACTTAAGGTACTAGGCGTTTTCTTGGTCTTAAAGTTTGCGAGATTTTCAAAACATTTGAAAAAATTAAATTTAAAAAAAAATTGAAAGAAAAATAATTTTGAAAAAAAAAATTGACAATTTTGAAAAAAAATTGAAAAAATATTTTGAAAAAAAATTTGAAAAAAATTTTGAAAAAAATTTTGATAAAAAAAACATTTGAAAAAAAATTAAAAATAAATTAAGGAGCAGTGTATCTAGGGACCGGGATACATGCTTTATCCCACCCTAAATGCTTTATATGATTGTATAATAGCATTGTATAACTGCAATATAAAACCAACACTCATCGTATACAACTCTTGAGAACGATATACAACTCCTGGATAGCGTATACAACTCCTGGGCAGCGTATACAACTCTTCGACTTGATATACAACTGCTTAATTTAGATTAATGTTTTATTGATTTAAGATTAGGGTGGGATAATAAGATCATATAATGGTTGATTCTGTATATCGTGTTTATACTCACTTGAGTATAAACACGATATACGGAATCAACCATTATATAACCTCATAGTATCCATCCCGGTCCCTAGATACACTATATATTCCCGCTCGTTATGTACCTAGAACCTCAGTAGATATGAAATACAAGACAATACTTCATTTCACATTTATTCATCTTTAGTTAATGATCTTGCTTATGTATCTAAATAGGGAAATTGAAAAGTAAGTAACATTGTAACTGTATGTATTTGAAGAAATTTGATTCCACCACTGTTGAAAGCATTTTTATATTTTGTTACTGGTTTTAAAAATATTATTAATGATAAAATATACTATATACGTTTATCCTATGCCAAGTAGAGTTTTAGGGAGATAAGTTGTAAAGATATATCCCGTATCCTGATTTTGAGGTTTCCATATCCAGAACCTCCATATCTCCCGCTTCGGTGCATATCTTCCCACTCCGGTGCATATCTTCCCGCTTCCGGTAAGTAGTGGAAATGCAATAAAATGACTTTGCATATGAATGATTTGTTTATTTTTACACCTTGTACTATTGAAATGGCCATATGCCCCTGAAAACTCTACTTGGTATAGGATAAAGCAGTTATGTACGGTCGGTTTGGATATTGGGTACATATCTCCCTCTGGATAAACCCCATATATCCAAAACCTCCCAGTACATAACCCTTATATATGCTATATTCAGATGTTACTGTTGCTTAGCATTTTTGAAAGATTGTTGTGTGTACCTTTGTTTAAAAGAGATCAGAGCAATCTTTGTTGTATTGAACATTGTAAATGTCTACTGATTTCAGGAATCTCCCCAAAAGGATAAAACAGACACATGTAAAGATACAAATAATCCAGGTAACAGTGCTATTGTTTTTATGTTTTGAATCAGTTATAGAAACATTCAAATAATAAAATGCACATTATACATAAACAATATTGATATTTAAGAAGTTAATCAATCTAAGTTTATTTAATTATTTGATAAAGTACTTTGTATGTAGAGTATGTCTTATAATTTGTGAGTGATATGATTTTTATCCACAAATAGATATGATATCTGCATGATCGAGCACTGTGTGAAAGAGTGGATAAAATCATATCACGAGTAAATCATAGGATGTTCTATTACTAAAGGGTTCTTATCAAATGTTTCCAAATATCTGATCAATCATTGTTATCGTCAGTCTTGTTTTGAGCCAAGAAGAAAAAAAACAAGAACCATCAAATATATATAGGATATCCTATGATTTTGAGAGATATCATTTTTATCCATGAGTTGATATCAATATCTGAACGAGTGAGTGTAGCTAATGAGTGAAGATATTGATATCAACGAGTTGATTAAATGATATCACAAAAAAATCTTAGGATGTTCTATTTATCCCATAATTCACCTTAAAAAGCATTTCAAAACAACATTCAGTTTTTTTAAATAACTCAATTCCATTATTAGGCTACTTCAGTTTTATTTTGTCACTTGAAATATAGCCAAAACATTAGTTATTTGCATATTTGTGATGTCATTAAAATCACCATGTAAGCGATGTAACCATATAACAATGCACGTCATATTGGTGGGAGTTTTCAAATCTGTAGAAAAAAGTGATATCTGTGGAATATTCTATGTATTCCACAGATTGCTTTTTTTCAACGCATTTGCAAAATATCATGACAAATAAGTGCTATTCTATAGATCTGACCTCAACTATGGGATAAGGCGCAGTATTCCATGGCGCAGTATCTATTTAAAAGCTGTATTTCATGGTTTAGTGAACTTTTGCCAAAATATGATATTTTCCACTGGTTACACTTATCCAACAAATATTGCAACTATGGAATAAATAAGTCATTTACTGATGTACTTTGCAGAATACAATCAGTCTTTCAAGATAGAAATGAACAGAAAGTCAAGGTCATTTGCCAGAGTCGTCAAAAGCAAAGCCATAAAGTTAGAAATATTTTATAAAAGGTAAGATATATGTTTGTGTCACTGAAATGTCTATTCATAATCATTCCAACTGTTAAATGTCCAATGCTTACATTTATAATACAGCATTACTTAAGTTTTCATGATTTGATATTGGCATGCAAAATTATGTATAGAAAAAAAACTATTAATATGAACACTTTCAAAAGAGAACAAAAAATAGTATTTGAAATGTTATCAATTCCTTTCTGATGTCCAATATTAGAATCTCATCTCAGTATGAATATATTAATATTTACAGTAGTCCAGTGTTCACTTTCCATCTCTACAGGAGTCATCAGTTGCATTGTCCAGAAACTAATTTGAACACTTTTTCAGACCAATTTTTATAATCTGCCACAGACTTTCATAAGATCTTGAAAAGTGAACACCTTTCATTTGAACACTTTTGACCAGCCCCAGTGGTATTCAGATTAGAGGTTTTACTGTACATGTACTAAATTCAGCAATTACCAAGTCCATCTTAAGGTCAACAAATGCATTACACTAGTACAGAATAAATATACAGTAAAACAGTCCTGTCTAATTCTAGCACCATTGGGACCGGATAAAAGTGTTCGTATGAGGAAGTGTTTTATTTTGAGGTTTTTGCATTCGCAAGATTCTGGATTTTGGACAATAAATATTCTTTTGACCACATAGCTTCATGGCATTCCAGTAATTTGAATATTCGATTCAACTGAATTTAGTCATGCTGGAAGCCCAATTATGATTGAGACCATTTAAGTTTTTTTCAAAAGTTTTGATATCATGGCAAAGCAGTGTTTAACTTTCAAATATTTAACTTTAAAAATTTTGTATGAAACGTGATATTTTATGAAGTGTTCAGATTAGACAGGTTACTCTCTCACATTTCAAGTTTTTTGAACATTGGTGTCAAGGGGAATGACGTCAAACTTTGCATTTAATAATCAGAGTATATTTGCTCTTATAGTTGATGGATGGCGTCAAGATTAGCTAGGTGTTTGGATTTACAAGTTTTACTGTAGTTGTATTTTACACCATGAAATGTATTTTTGTAGAGGTTTCTTCAAAGGTGACAAGTTACTAGGAACTGCAAGTATCAAGTTAGCACCACTAGAGTCTAAGTGTATTCTCCATGAAAGTTTTGATGTAAGTATATACAGTACATCAGTTACTGATGAACAATAGTAATGTATCTCACAAGATGATTTAAGGTCCCAGGGTTCCAATCCAACGCAATATTTTTAATCTTGAAGCAATTTGTTCAGTGTTGGTTTCTATGGCGAAAAACATATGAATGAACTTCAGTACTTATATCTTGATCATTTCTTGTGTTTTGAAATTTTTTTTTTTTGAAATAAGACAAATCTTTTCAAATTCTGAAGTGAAAAATTGGTGGCTGTTTAATTTTTGAATTTTGTTATCACGACATGACTCCATATATGGCAGAATATTGAGTTGGAACCCTGGGAGCCAATCCTCTCTGTTGTCACATATGAAAAAAAGAATTGATTTAAATTGCATGTACAACCTCATTCTCATTTAAAACTGATAATGCTCATTCTAGAATACCATACCCCCTCTTATTTATTTATTGTTTGACCAAGACAAAATAAAGGGTGCACAGTAATCGCGATGAATGATGCTTAATACAGGATTGTCTCTAGCCAAATATTTCTCAAACTTTGAATCTGTAGATCTGTTTAATCATCAGAGTATATTTGTTCTTATAGTTGATGGATGGCCGCAAAAGCATTGGTGGTAAATTAGAGGTGAAGGTCAGGATACGTAACCCATTCTCAGCCATACAAGTGGAAGAAGTGAAGGAGAAGTGGCTTGTGATTGATAAGTTTGATCGAACTATACTCTCAGGAAATGTAAGTGATTTTCCCCTGTACAGTCAATCAACTGATTTGAGATTAGACAGGGCCAAAGTAGGTGTTAGTGATTGGCTAAATTACCCTTTGAATATAAAATTATGAACTTGTGCATTAAATCAGAAGTGTTCTGAGATGATTTTTTGGCATACTAGTAGTAGCATTGATATCTTCTAAAATCAGTTACTATTAATTATCCCATCGAACGAAGTTCGGAGGGATATAGGGAACGCCTCCGTCCGTCCGTCCGTCCGTACGTACGTCCGTCCGTCCGTCCGTCCGTACGTACGTCCGTCCGTCCGTCCGTACGTACGTCCGTCCGTCCGTACGTACGTCCGTCCGTCTGTCCGTCCGGGCAATAACTCCAATACCGTTGGCCCGATTTTGTTCATATTTTGTACACATATACCCTATGGGGGTAGAAGTTCTGCTCGAAAGCTGATTTTCAAAATGGCCACTCATTTCAAAATGGCGGCCATTTTAGTGCCGAATCTTCAGTAATTTAGGTGCAATATGTAAAACTGTAATAGCAATATGTTTTAGATGTAAAAAAATTATATAGGACATTAATAAAGCTAGAAATGTAGATTTTAAAGAAGCACATGGCAGCCATCTTGAAAAATGGCGGCCTTTACTCGTTATTTTACGATTTTTCCTGTAACTCGAAAAGTAGTGGAGCGATTTTGTTCATATTTGGTATGTGAATACTATAAACATTGCACACTGTCTAAAGACACGTTTGGTAGAAGGTGGCCATTTTAAAAAATGGCCTCCATTTTGAAAAATGGCCGCCATTTTAACCTATTTTACTATAACTCGAAAAGTAGTGAAGCGATTTTGTTCATATTTGGTATGTGAATACTATAAGGATGGCACACTGTCTAATGACACTTTTGGTAGAAGGCGGCCATTTTTCAAAATGGCCGCCATTTTAACGTTTTTTACTATAACTCGAAAATTAGTGGAGCGATTTTGTTTATATTTGGTATGTGAATACTAAAAGCATGACACACTATCCTATGACACTTTTAGTAGAAGGTGGCCATTTTCAAAAAAATTTTGAAAAATGGCCGCCATTTTAATGTATTTTATATATATTCTAATGACACTTTTGACACTTTTGGTAGAAGGCGGCCATTTTGAAAAATGGCCGCCATTTTAACGTATTTTACTATAACTCGAAAAGTGGTGGAGTGATTTTGTTCATATTTGGTATGTGAATACTATAAGTATGGCAAATGGTCTAATGACACTTTTGGTAGAAGGCAGCCATTTTGAAAAATGCCTGCCATTTTTACTATATACTTTGTTTGTAAAAATGCAATCCATGGCTGTTCGATGGGATTCGCTACGCTTTGGCGTTGCCGTTGTTCTGGTTTAATATCAAAATGTCATTTATCAGTTTATGTTTCTCAAGTTTATGAGCAGATGATAAGATTATTGCTATGACTTGATGTGTTGTCTCATTAAAGTTCAAGAGTTCATTGAAAATAATTTTTTTTATTAATTTTGATTAATTTTTATTTTTCAGGCTCCTCCTATCGGACAGAAACAGTAAGTACATGCATTCTTGTTAATATAAGTGCATTTATTAAGTAGTAGTGTAAAAGTTCATTGTTCGACTAATAAAACTAATTTAGTCCTAATCCCCACTTTGTAGCTTTTACTCATATGATGGGTTATAGATATATATAAGTTGTTAAGAAACCCTGTGACCCATGCTTACTTATTTAGAAGTATGAGAACATGTTAGATACCAATTTAAAGCTGGGGACCTTTAGTTTAGGATCTGATATTTTTTTGCGTTTTGATGATGTTGTTTTGGAAATGGGATGCAAAGGCATTTCAATTTGGTTAAATTGTAAATTTCATGTTTCTCAACCAATCTTGACTATATTGGTATAAGGATGAGGAATTCAACTACTCATTTTACTCACATAAACAATGGCTTACCAGTGGCGTAGCCAGGATTTGGTGACCAAGGGTTCATTTTTGTTATATTATCCACAAATCTCCACAAAAAAAATAAATTGACATCATGTCCGATACCTCCATTTTGTTTTGGCAAGATACAATTGAATTTGAAAAAGTTAGACAATTTGATTTTCTATGTTAAAATAATGGTGAATCTTTAACCCAATAGATATCCTGAAATCTGAAGGCAAGATCATGATTTTAATATTACATTTGTTTAATGAAATTCACATCAAGAGTAAACATATATTTATAATTTATACATCACCCCTTAAGTTTAAGGGCAAATCTTAACACATCTTTAAGGAACATATGCATCTTTTTAAAACGAGCTACTTTAGGGAGATAGACTTAAGAGTTCACATAAACTTCACATCTTGCTTCATCAAGCTTCGGACCTATCCTCACCTCGGGATAGAACGTAATGATTGAGCGTGGGAACCGACGATGCAAAGTTCACACAAAGATGTCAAATTCTGAAACATGCGATTCCCACAATTTAATACTGAGATTATGATTTTTCTAAAAAAACTCCAAATCAAAATATTTTATTTGGTATATAATTTTATAATTGAGGAGTGTTCATTCATAATGACCTTACATTTAGTTACTGAATTGAAGAAGAATTAAGAGGCGTACAAAAAGTCTTTATAGCTACGTGAATACTCTTTGACGATAGAAGTGGCAGTTGATAATTAGTTTTGTAAAAAATGAAACATAGGCTGAAATTCCAAACTGACCAAATTGAAATAACACGATATCTATTGTACTCCGTAGTCTCTAAAATTAAACCTCTTTCAAATTGCAATGCCTTACAACAAAAGACACCTACTATAGTGCTAAAAATACCCATTTGTTCTTTCTTTGAATTGAAAATATAAAATTCAAAATTCAAATCCAAGTCGAAGTACAGGTGAGGTGACCCCAAAAACATCACCCCTTAATTTGGGAATAACTATATCTCAGATTTAAAGGACTTTTCATGTTTCTTTGTGTATATAGAGAGTTAAATGCATAAATCATTGGAATTTACCTAATAAGCAGTCAGTGCATCAAATTCCACGAGATTGTTGAATTGTTTAAAGGGTAGATTTTACATTCTATTGATAATGTGTATGAAAGCAATCCAGAAATGGCGCAAATAATGACTAAGACAGAAATCTCAATTTCAGAAAATTGCATTTTCAACATTTTTGGACAATATCACTAGACCATACCTGGATGGAAAATGTGATCATTTTAAAACTTGGAATTTAAACAGTCTATATACGCAGATAAATTAAAAAAATCATGTTTGGGTTTATACTAAAATGAGAGGGTAATTTTTCTGGGTCAACTTGTATATGGAGGTGTACACGTGAATAAGGGAGCATGCGTGTTACAAATGTCCATTGAAATTCAGCAAAAGTAGAACTCTTTTGAGAAATCTTGGCTATGGCCTAAATATAGCAGTCACATCACAAAAGAAATCGAAGTGATGGATAATAAATGCTTTACCCATTCAAATGCTTGTGTTTATAAATGATAAATACTCGTACATGTGTGCTTTTCATACTAACTCATTTCAAAAAGTTTCTATTATTTGATATTTGCTCCTGGGGACTAATCAGCTCCAGGCAAGATTTTTTTGTTAAAAATAAAACAAAACGAAGGCGCACAGATTTGAAAGAAAATGTATTTTCATCAGTAGTAAGACAATAAGTAGTTGTTTTTATGTTAAAATAAAAAATAACGATTTTATGTTAAATTGATTGAACAAATTTATTTATAATTATGGGAAAAATTTTCAGTTGATTGAAAAAGATTTAAAGAGTAAATCGAAATATTGCAAAACTAAATCAATTTATTAGTATTAAGACATTTGGTTTATTTCACCGGATATGAAGCAGCTTAATTGTGCGAAATTATTGTTATTTCTTGGCATAATGTCATGATGATCCGGGGTCTTCTCAAAATTAGACAATCCCAACCCTTGCCTAAGGTTGCCAAACTTTGGGAGAGAATTGTACAACATTATTATGTTTTTATTTACTGGTCATATAAATTGAATTTAATGTTTCTGGTTTTCCACAAATATTTTTTAGGAAACCCTGACCGGGGGTTCGTCCGAACCCACCGAACCCCCGGTCCCTACGGCTATGCTTACTAATTATGCTTTTTATTATAATCTTGAGAAATTGGAAAACTGATGGTGAAATTATACTTTAGTTTGATAATGGTGTATTTATGGTGTGATATTGGTGTGTTAACTGGCTGTACTTGTCTTCCAGAAAGAAGACCAGCTCAAGTGTATGTGGCATTTGCTGACAATCAGTTTGGATGACAGTACAACTAGTTAACATAGCTTATAATGGTGGACAATGCAACTGGATATCATACCGAATGTAATGGACAATTCAATCAGTTCACACTCTCTAGAATGTTACTGTTTTAGCAAACAACAAGTTTATTAAGACATGGTACCTTACGCTAATTATCCCATCGAACAAAGTTCGGAGGGATATAGGGAACGCCTCTGTCCGTCCGTCCGTCCGTACGTACGTACGTCCAGGCAATAACTCAAATACCGTTGGCCCGATTTTGTTCATATTTTGTACACATATACCCTATGGGGGTAGAAATTCTGCTCGAAAGCCGATTTTCAAAATGGCCGCTCATTTAAAAATGGCGGCCATTTTAGTGCCAATTTTACAGTAATTTAGGTGCAATATGTAAAACTGTAATAGCAATATGTTTTAAATGTAAAAAAATTATATAGGACATTGATAAAGCTAGAAATGTAGATATTAAAAAAGCACATGCCAGCCATCTTGAAAAATGGCGGCTTTTACTCGTTATTTTACGATTTTTGCTGTAACTCAAGAAGTAGTGGAGCGATTTTGTTCATATTTGGTATGTGAATACTATAAGCATGGCTCACTGTCTAATGACATTTTTGGTAGGAGGCGGCCATTTTGAAAAATGGCCGCCATTTTAACATATTTTACTCAAAAAGTAGTGGAGCGATTTTGTTCATATTTGGTTTGTGAATACTATAAGCATGGCACACTGTCTAATGACACTTTTGGTAGAAGGCGGCCATTTTGAAAAATGGCCGCCATTTTAACATATTTTACTATAACTCGAAAAGTAGTGGAGCGATTTTATTCATATTTGGTTTGTGAATACTATAAGCATGGCACACTGTCTAATGACACTTTTGGTAGAAGGCGGCCATTTTGAAAAATGGCCGCCATTTTAACGTATTTTACTATAACTCGAAAAGTGGTGGAGCGATTTTGTTCATATTTGATATGTGAATACTATAAGCATGGTACACTGTCTAATGACACTTTTGGTAGAAGGTGGCCATTTTGAAAAATGGCCGCCATTTAAACGTATTTTACTCGGCCTTTACTCGTTATTTTACAATTTTTGCTGTAACTTGAAAAGTAGTGGAGCGATTTTGTTCATATTTGGTTTGTGAATACTATAAGCATGGCACACTGTCTAATGACATTTTTGGTAGAAGGCGGCCATTATGAAAATTGGCCACCATTTTAAAGTTTGCTATATATTTCGTTTGTAAAAATGCCAGCCATTTCTGTTCGAGTGGATTCGCTACGCTTTGGCGTTGCCGTTGTTCTGGTTGTTAATGGAACTATTGGAATATGATTTTCTGTGATCTTATACTAAATTGAATATAAGTCAAATATTTATGGTGCTTAATATTATCCAAGATTTAAAAATGAGAAATGTAGAAGGCTTTCCATGTTTGATGTCTACAGAGCAGATTAATTTAGGGGAGTTTATCTTAGTTTGTGATCTCATGAGGACAATGCATATGTATTAGCACTTAGCAGGGTAAAAATATTTAGTTGATGATATGGCTTCGATTTTTCATTAAATGCCCCATCATAAAATCCCTTGTCATTAAATGCCCCATTATGAAATCCCTTATAATGAATTTTCGATCATGAAATGCCCCATCATAAAATGCCTTGTCATTAAGTCCGCCATCATGAAATGCCTAATAATGAAATGCCTTGTCATTAAATGCCCCATCATGAAATGCCCTGTCATTAAATGCCCATCATGATATGCCTTGTCATTAAATGCCCCATCATGAAATGCCTTGTCATTAAATGCCCAATCACTAAATACCTTGTAATGAAATACCTTCTAATGGAATGCCTTGTCATTAAATACTCCATCATGAAATCCTTTGATTTTAAAAACACCACCATGAAATGGCTTTTAATGAGATGCCTCATCATAAAATGCCTTTTAACACTCCAGTATGATCTTTTCCTAAACAGAAAGATATACTATTAACTTGTATGTTGCTCTATTGTGTACAAGTAACCGACCTATTAACATCCTACTAAGCTATTGTGATATTTTTATTAGTATACAGTTCATGTGTATTGTGATGATGTATCCGTCCTGGAAAATAGATTTTACATATTGTAATTTCTTATATTAGCAGTTAGATGAATTTTGATGATATACATGTATTTATTGTTATGTTCATATAATTTATGTTTAGTCACTCTCTGTAAAATAGTATTTTTAGTGAATGAAATAAATTTATTTTATTTTTCTTAAATTATGTTTACTGATATTGTAACGTTTTTACACACTGAATTGGAAATGTCTCATATATATCGGGTGGGTATAAAAATTGGGCCGTATTTTGACACTCAATATCGCCAAAATCCTTTTACGTCTGCTTCTCAAAATTATTATGGATTTGAGATCATAAGGAATAAATTGGAAGGCAAATTGTACATATTAAGTGTCACCCCATATAAATCTGATTCTGCCTTTAATATAGAGACCAAATTTCAGTCTCTTCCTTCAGAAAACATGTGTTGATGGGCATAATCCAACCATTTTCAGTTCTAGATCTATGAGTTTATGAGAGACATACCTACGATCAGTAAACACAAACCATGAAAACATATCTAACTAACAATGAAGCTATAGAAACCATCCTCGTAGAGATTAAAAGGTGGATTGGATCGAGTGTATTGGATTCATGTAAAAGGTGGATTCAGGAATCCTCAAAATAAGGAATTTCTTTTTTTTGAAGATTTCCCTCTTAGCAAAATTTCCATTCCACAAAGTATTTTGTGATCACTTGGGTCCCTTTGAGGAATCAAAACAAAACAACAACAAACAAATGCATACTACAATTAGTTGATGATTACTCTATGCTATTTGGGGAGAACAATAATCTTCTTGGAGGGAGATCAATAGAAAAAATTCTAAGAAATTCCATATCTTGAAGATTTCCAATCCACTCGATCCAATCCACCTTTTAATCTTTACCGTTGTATGATATATTCAAAAACCTATTTTGGAAATATAACGACCAGCCTGCAAAACAAGGTATTCAGAAATTGAAAATGATTTACAGTTTTCAACAAATATGGGATTCCATCTATGAAATGTATTATATCCTTACCCTACTATCACACCAAACTAGTTTTCACTACGTTCTCGAAAACGGGCTCAAACTGTGCACGAACTTGAACGTATTTGACGTACTAAGAACCCACTAAGAACCATTTGGGATCTGTTTACAAACTTCATGAAACTACTAGAACGAGTAGGTCCTCCAGCACTTAGAGCATGCTCAAAATGTTCGGGTGATCGTCAAAACATTGCCGAATCGGTTTTAAACTGTGTGCGAACTGAATGAACGTAGCTACAATGTTCTATGGTCTGTTTACGAACTTCATGGACTTTCCCGGACGGGGTGTGTGATTTAGAATTTTGAATCGATTCAAAATTCGATGGCGACCATACCGTTCTGTAATCAGGTCATGATGACCTTCTAGACTGAGGGACGGTTTATACTACGTTGCACACCGACGTGGTGCGATCTGAACGAACTGCGAATGAGATGGACGTATTGAAGATTGTTTATGAACAAAGTGTCTAATTATTTAAGACATATATCCCGACCACAGCCAGATTGAGCCCGTTTTACAACATTTTTGTAGGACTGGCAAGAACGGGTAAGAACTAGTTTGGTGTGATAGGGGGGTTAGGATTATCTTAACCAAGTTTTCTGATTTTGATTATTTGTGGAGCATAACAAAACACCATCTTACATTCCCTTTAAAACTCATGATGTTAGCAAAACAGGCACAGGAGACTTGTAATGGGACAAGATTACTTCCAAAGTGTTCAAGAAACAACAAGATTCAAGCATCTTGAGTCAGACTTTATCTACAAGTTTAATTTTTTTTTTATGTTTTGGATATTTTTTAGAGCAACCAATCAAGCCGTGTCTCCAGGAGGTAGTTCATCTGGGCAAGTAAAGAGGGCAGCACAAGGTGCCCCAGTAGCAGCCCCAAGAAGTAACTCAGTTACCAGTAATGAAGTGTTGAAGTATGAGAAACAGTTATTGGAAAAACAGGTAATTTAAATAGTTTTATGTATAACGTCAAATTCTATATAAAAATATGACTTTAATAAAAAAAAAGGGAAAGTTGAAGTGGCACAATTGCTCTAGAGAATGCTTCTGTTTGACTGAAATTGGCAATGCTTTTGTCAAGTAATTGAAGTTCCCATTTAAATTAAATATAATTACTATCTTATCTCATGGATTGCACATTTTATATTACTATACTATACAGATCTCTTCATTGAGGGGCAAGTTGTCAGCTGGCCAGGAAGATGCCCTCATGCAGAAATCAAGGTCATTGCAACAAAATATAGATCAGCAGAAATCAAGGTTACAACAAGGAGGCATGCCAGCATATAGAAGTAATTATAACACTTTTTTTATTTTACATTATGTGTATATATAAACATATCTAGGAATGAATATATGAATAATGAATTGAAAATCTGGATAATATCATTGCCATTGTTACAGGCTATCTAGAGAGCATAGAGAGGTCAATAGGACTCTACCACAATGAGGCTGTTAACCTAGTCAAAGCTGGAGACCGGGATAAAGCACAGACTATGCTGCAGAAAAAGAAAATCGTAGAAAATGAGGTAATGATATTTTCTAAAATTTTCAAAGTACAAATATATCAACAATTTTAGTACTACTGTTTCCAACACATGGGGTGACATTTTGTTATAGTCTCCAATTTTTTAAGAGCTTGGTACTATTTAGTACTACTGTTGGTACTATTTAAGAGCTTATATTATGACTGGCATTCAGATTGAATGTTTGATGTTTGCCCTCTGCAACAAATAATAACAAGTGCAACTACATGTATGTGATGGAGTTTGAAGTGTTATGCATCATTAAATTAGTAGGCTTCTGCAGAATGAAAACTGCAACTTGTATTTGTATTTTATTTTTACTTATTTCTAGTTTTTGTTCATATAAATGATAAAAGTGACATGAAATAGACACCACCTTGTCGGCTATATCAGTTTCAAATAGGAAATGTCATAATGCACTTTGAACAGTCAGGTTATATAAACCTTTTCCTGGATTACTTTGAAATCTTGTTGAAGTCTCAATTTTGAGATATTTTAAGATTTGTTCTCTAATCACAAAGGACTTGCATGTTCTTCAATTTGATGAAACATTTGATTCTTTATGTCAATTTATTTTCAACACATGTTCTTGTGCCTTTTAATGTTTCCAACACATGGGGTGACATATTGTTATAGTCTCCAACTTTTTGTGGACAGTGTTTGGTGGACAGGATGGTGTTTGTTGGTTGGTGTTCATCATTCAGCAGTTGGAATCTGTAACAAATGACTGGTGGCAAGCAAATGGCAAATAACACTTTGCATGTTAATGCCATGATTTACTTTATTCATGTATTGTTTTTTTAACTTTCAGGTGCAGGCACTAAGAACAATGCTATCCAAAAGATGAAGTGATAACATCAGAGACATTTACTACATCTGAAATGTTCATTATTTATATTTTATCAACCATAAATTGCTGAACATTACTGTGATTTGGAATGGATTCATGTTATTGAAAGTATGTCCACATTTGGTACATGCCAGAGATATATGTATAGGAAACCCTACTAAAGTACCCATGGGCAATATTTTGAAAGCAATTAAAAAAGTACAACCTTGTTTATGTGCCCCTTAGTCTTTTGATGATGATATTTGTGAAAAAGGGTGCCATAGCATGACAAATTGTACCAGTTCAGTGATATACATGTGCATGTATAAGTAAGTCTTACATCAAGTCAGTGTAAATAAAAGGGATCTAGCTAATGGTTAAACACAAGACTTCCAGTGTAAATCAGCAGATTCATAAAAACAAGGAAAACCTAGGGCTACTTGAATTAGTTTGGAGATTTTCAGAAGGAGTACTGGGACACTAACAACCATCATCAGTTTTACATACATAAAGTTTGTTGATGATGCCATTGTATCTCTTACAATCATGTTTAAAACAGTAATTACTCAGTAAATATACAATAAACTAAATACATGTTCTCTATAAACACACAATGCATCTCATAAATTTTCCTGAAGGATATGTAGGGATGGTTTTTAGGTAAACCCATGCCTTAGAGGCTGTTATGAGTGTGTTATAATTTAAATGGTACCCTTGGCAAGTCTGTGAACAACTTAATGCATGGAGACAACTTAATCAATGGCAGGAAGTTAATTACAAACCTATTATCCCACAATTTCTTTTTGATTTCTGTCACTCTGTCATTAAGGTTTGGTCCCATAGGGGACAAATCTTCCGATACCTAATCCTGTGGTAATGTCAACATTTATTCTATGAATTAAAAGAGTTCTTACTTTTTTATGATTGTCTGTTATAGAGAATGCAGAATATTGCAAATTAGATATTTTAACCTCCTGAGAGAGTAATGAGATGATATTGTTGTATCTCTAATTGTCAATTTATAAATAAGAGAACACGAATAACCATGCTTCTAGCAAGTATTTTTAACACACAGATGGCAAGCATTTCTGTAGTGACTCATATAGGCCTACAATATACTGTGCTGTATGCTCTTTATTTCTTGAGACATTGTACTAGGTTGCCAAGGTTTTTGAATTTTATCTGAATAAATGAGAAAACATATATTTGTCGATATGATTGATTCTTTATCTTATGAAATGACAACTGGTATTTACTATTCAGATGAAAATATAGAATTAATTTATTATACCTATAAAAGTCTAGTTTGTTCATTCTTCAGTCAATATTAGGAAATCATTTTACCAAAACAAAAACTTAAGATTCTTACGGAGCTGGGACTTATGTATATATTCAAACTGCAAGGAAAGGGTGTGACAGCTATTGGTGTGATAAGATCATTATCAGAGTGCAGTACAAGTTGTAATAATGATCATTCAAACATGACTGTGCTCTATTTGAATTTCTAAACCAATCAGAATGCAGCATAGCCAATAATGAACGTTCATTATTTCTCCATACAGGCACAACCGTGCTCTATTCAATCTGCTTCCAGGTACGTACATTTATTGTGTTGTATTATGACGTCACACATGGGAATGGTGAAAATAACAGCAAGTTTGGTTATTTCAATGACCTAAATCCCCAATTCTCTGAACAAGTTTTTCTTATCGTACCTAACAAAAGGTACGATATTGTAGTCAGCTTGACGGGCGGGCGGGCGGCGTCTCACTTTTCAGCTTGTCTACAGGTTTCCAGCCAAACCATTTGAGGGATTCATCTGAAATTTTCAGGGATGTTTCTACATATCAACGTTAAGAACTGATTAGTTTTTGGGCATTCTGGGTAAATCTTAAGGTGGCCATTTTGGATTTTCCGTCCTAAAATCGTCACTTTCAAGACTTGTCTACAGGTTTCCAGCCAAACCATTTGAGGGATTCATCTGAAATTTTCAGGGATGTTTCTACATATCAACGTCAAGAACTGATTAGTTTTTGGGCATTCTGGTTAAATTTTAAGGTGGCCATTTTGGATTTTCCGTCCTAAAATCTTCACTTTCAAGACTTGTCTCCAGGTTTTCAGCCAAACCATTTGAGGGATTCATCTGAAATTTTCAGGGATGTTTCTACATATCAACTTCAAGAACTGATTAGTTTTTGGGCATTCTGGGTAAATTTTAAGGAGGCCATTTTGGATTTTCCATCCTAAAATCTTCACTTTCAAGACTTGTCTACAGATTTTCAGCCAAACCATTTAAGGGATTCATCTGAAATTTTCAGGGATGTTTCTACATTATCAACGTCAAGAACTGATTGGTTTTTGGGCATTCTGGGTAAATTTTAAGGTGGCCATTTTGGATTTTCCATCCTAAAATCTTCACTTTCAAGACTTGTCTACAGGTTTCCAGCCAAACCGTTCAAATTTACATATGTTACACAGTGATAAGTTCTAGAGCTGATTAACTTTTCTGTGGCCATCTTGCTTTCTTGGTCAACAAGACCACAATGCTGTGTTTTAGGTACGATATTGTTCACGTCTGTGCCTTGTTTTATGTTTGGATAGTAATAAATAATGACAGGCCATTCAATATGGTGAAATTCTTCACTCGTTGGACAGAATGTCAGTGCAAATGCACTCACCTTCGGTTCATGCTTTGTGCAACATTCTGTCCAACTCATGCTGAATTTCACCATATTGAATGGCCTGTCATTATTTATTCCTTAAATAATTACCCTTGTAATTACTATTACCCTGGACATCTTAATATCATTGATAAGACATCAGTGAAGACCTTTGAATAAAAAATTCAAGATAATTAGGCTAGAGACCAGTTTGGAAACATCATTATGAACGATTGAATTGAGAGTTCTTACATAAAGACTGTGCTTACAGTTTACAACCAAACAAAAAAGGCCTCTTTGTTGCTCATTCTACTTTAACAACGTTTATTCTTGCTCATTATATAACATAAATGTAGAATATTTTATATACATGATTTACATATTTATTTGGTTCGACTTAATTTTACATTGCAACATAATAATATCAGAGAATAACATGAATTTGAACGGAGTTATCCTCATATAAGATAATTTAAATATTAATATTCATAGTTTGTATAACATATTTTCCATCATTCATTTTGATTTCACCTAAACAATCAATCTTGTTTGAAATTCCATCAATTCTTCAAACTATAACAATGTTAAACTGCAAAGTCCAGTGTTTGGCAATAAAGTTTAAATTTGGCAAAGTATAAACCAGTAACAGTGCTGCTTATGCCAGTATGCTTCATACAAAACTATAACTAATATCAAGAATGTCCACTTTACAACAAAAATAATTCAAAAAACAATATACAATTTTATTGTCAATAAATACTTCATCATTCAGAAAAAGCAATACAAAAATTCCAATTTAGTAAATTTAAGAAACATTCAATTTTCATATAGACATCAAATGATGTGGAATATTACACAATGCCATATTAAACAGATATAGAAGATATATTCATGAAGCCCTATATATAAATACAAACTTATTGCATGACAACTAGCGTGAAAGGAGCAATGACAATGCATGAGGTAACTTAGACATTAGAATTGGGGTAAAGTCAACATTACTTGTTAGCACCTAAAACTTCCATTTCAACCATGTTTGACTATGGTAAAAAAATAAAGATTCCATTCATGCTAAAAAAGGGCCTCCCTGGATCAAAAATTAGAGCCAAGCAACAAGATGTTGAAACTATCCTTTAAGTCAAAGTACCCTAAAATGGCATCGAAATTAGCCCCTCACCCTCTTAACAAATTCTAATTCTACTCCTAATGATTCAGGAATGAACAACACATGTAAACAGATCATATTAACTTTTTTCAATGAAACAAATAATATAATAAATAATTCTATGAACTGCAATCTACAAGAAATATTACTGATTTAATGCAACAATGACTTGCCATACATAGATGACAAGAGCTTTGAATGAAATTTCCAGAGAATGACTTTTTTCTTTTTACCACATATACATGTAAGACATACTAAGAGTGAGAACATCACTGGATTCTTTTGAAAATCATAGTTTACATATCATTTGTTCCGTATTCTAATCTCAAGACTGACATGTCTAATATACTTATTGATACAAAAGTATATGCTAATGAGAATAATAAAGCATTTTAATATCTGTTTGCATTTCACCTGTTGTTTATCCTTCACCAACATTGTTCATAGTCCATCAAGTAATAACACTATAAATCTAAGGGTCACTTTATACAAGTTCCATTCTATGCACAATTCATATACTACACCAATGACATGTAATGCTGGTTCAGAGATCCAATCTGTCTTCAGTGTGGGATTTTATATCAAATTGCACGCATTGATAGAACTCATGGAAAATGTGAATATGATAGTCTATCTAGGGAAGGGGTGTTGTATTGTCCAATTTGAAATATAGACCCTTTTGCAACATCATTCTAGTGTTTTGGAATTATATCGATTGAATATTCCTAAAAGTGGTTGTAGTCACCATATGGTGCACAAGTGTGTGGGATATGTTGAGAGTTGAAGGATTCTGCAGGTGATACACATGACTGGTCCATACCCGATGAACTGAGCCCTATCTCCATTGAGGTTGCTGGGGGTACTGGCCCTGTGGAGGATACCCAGGTTGTTGAGGATAGCCAGGTTGTTGACCTGGGTAGGGCTGCTGTGGGGGGTAAGCCCCCTGGGGTGGTGCACTGGGAGGAGCACCATAAGGGTTCTGTCCATACTGAGGTTGTTGTCCATACTGGGCGTATGGGTTGAATCCTTGGGGCATGGCTGGAGGGGCATACTGCGGATAACCCCCTGCTGCCTGAGGGTACTGCTGGCCACCATAACCTGGGTTGGCAGGGTAGGGGAGTTGTGGGGCTCCCTGGCCTGTAAAGAAAACAGAGTAATTGGTCAAATCTAAATGCTTGAAGCTGTGGTATTTAGTGTGCAATAAATGCTTAAGACTAAAAATTGGACATTTTAATATATAATAGGGTTGCCAATAAGAAAATACTTCAGGACGTTAACATTCATAAATATTTCAAACTAGTAATAAGTTAACATTCAGAATTATGCACCTTTAATATTTGAAATTGTAATAATCGGCAATTTCTTCAGAATATTCTGAAATGTAGTAAATGTTCCGACTCACCATAAGCTGGGGGCTGTTGTGACTGTGGAGGAGCGGCTTGTGGAATTGTTGGTGGTTGGCTTGGCCTCTGTGGAGCCTGGTGGGGGGCTGGAGCTGAGGCCTGGGGGGCTTGGGCTGAGGCCTGTGTGGGCTGGGACGTAGGCAGAGTGGGTGGGGGAGGTCTTGCAGGAGCTTGAGCTGAAATACAATTTGCAAATTACTGCAATATTATAATAATCATTAATAGTAGAATGAACTGCAATAAAAATTGTGAATGACTGTAATACACTTTTTTAACTATACATGCATCATACATTGGAACCAATACAAATATATATGTATACAGGCAGATGGAAATCCATGATAGATTGCAAGTATTTATAAAACTTTGTTTAACCTTTTTGGTAAGAAGGTGCAGCCGGGGGAGCCTGTGTGGGTTGGTTGGCTATGTTAGTTTGTAAATCCTTCATTAATTCCTCCTTTTCAGTCTTCCTAGCAAAACAGAAGTCGGTCACCTTATTCTGGAACCTCACTAACAGCTGGGTTAGGTCATTGTAGAACTGGAACATATCAGAGTAGAGCCTATTAGCACTTTAAAGCTATGTGTAATGGTAAGCTTGTAAAATACAATGTAGTATCAAAAATTGAAATTTTTCTTGTATGTTATGTGCTCTGAACAATATCCAATATTTACATACAATCAACAGTTAATTTCAATACCATGGATATAGATAGAGAAAATCCAATCAAAAAATTTATGAAACATTCAAAAAATAATTGTTTCAATGAGAAAGGTGAGTACTGGAAATGATAGAGGTTCAATTTAGAAATGTGTATTGTTTAAATTGGAAATATTCATTGAGCTCCATCCATTTTTAAGTTAAATAATATTCCATGTTTATATATATTTGTAATGTTTACCTTCGTTCCTTCTTCTAGATTTCCTTTAAGTTCCATGTAATTATCAAATGCAGCAGCTAAGTCTTTAAGCATTGTCTCTCGTGTTGCAGCACTTTGGTTTGAAGATTTAGCATTGCAGAATTCAGTATTTGCTCTCTGGAATAAAAAAACATATTGTTAAAATTAATTTAAAAATGATTTAACAACACACATTCAAATATTTGTATATTACTTATAGTATCAGAGATTGCTTCCTATATTTAGGAAAATATGAGATGTTGAATTCCTCAGATTTAGTGATGAAGAAAACTTTCAACAATCTCAGGTACATGTCAGGACCTGACAGGCAACCATTCTGTTATCATCATTCTAATGATATTATAATGATCATTAATGTTATATTCTTAAGGCCTTATTTCACAATAAAGTGAATTTCTGGTGCCTGAAAATTCAATTTTATTCCCAAGCACTAGGTATGATTGTCCCATGCTGGTTCACTGCACATTGATAGATATTTGATAAATCAAGACTGTTAAAAATAAGCATGGATAAAAATAATTCAACCATTGTTAATAGGTCATTAAAATCATGGATATCATTTGTGTTGCAATATTATAAATCACCTGAATATCAGCTAGGAGAGTCTCTTGTCTGGTAACGCTGTCACGGACTTGCTCTCTAAGAGGTCCATACATGGCCTCTAACTCTTGCGATGAGATAAGATCTTCTTCTATTGCACCATCTGCACTTAATGCACCCAGAAACTTGGCAGCTGTAGAATGAAAAATACAAGATATACAACACATGGAAATATTTCTTTTATACTTGGAAACTCTAAAAATTGGAAAATAATTTTAAAAAAATAAAACATGAGATAGTTTTGAAAACTCTGTCCAACTTGAGATATATCAGGGACACCTTTTGCAAATGCTTAGGTTCTTTAATATTCCATTTTAGAGTCAACATTTCATCTTTATTCTCAATATTGTTATATGCTATAGTTTTACTCACCCATATCACATTTAGCCTCCTTGATTTCATTCTCCATAACATCTCTCTCTGCCTTCATAGTTTCTACTTGTTCCATAAGTTGTTTGAGGGCAACAACAAAGGGTTGGTCCTTCATGGCAGCTGTAGGATTACCCGATGGTAGAGCACTTGCTATTTCAGCCTACAGTAAATATAACACAAGAGTGTGATTCATCAAGTAACTTAAGCAGAATTCTATAATATTACAATTTTACAATTCAACAATTGTATAAATAGGGTCCATCTCGGGATGTGAAGTTGTGAAGAACTGTCACATGTTTCCTCTGATGACAAAAACAATACAAATCTGTTTTCAATGAATGCTTTTGATTGTATTACCAAATAAATGTAGTTTTAAGTGAAAAAATTGTTTGAATGAACATACGTCAGATTTTGACAGTAGGACGATTCCTTCCCTATGTGTGTTATATTTTTCCTTGACCACATGATCAGCTTGTATAGCCGTGTCTAAGATTCCTTTATATTTGTTCCCCTCCTGCCTAATTGGTTCTGTGAGGTTTACAGATGGCGTTCTTGTCCAGCGTTCTTTGAACTGTTCACGTAATTGTTTGTCAGAGGTTTCTTCATCATCTAGTAGTTTCGTAGACTGAAACAGACACAAACAATGTATCAACATGCAAAAATGTCACAACCTGCCATTTGTTACAGACACAGAATGCTGACTGCCACCCGCTAAATGCCAATCGGTGAACACCTTCCAAAAAAAGTTGACAAGACAACAAAAATTGTGAAATAATGCCATGTCACATAAAGTAGAAATTTATCAGTCCTTAAGATTGTGACATCATTTCCTGGTAAAAATGTGATCTGTCTCCCATAATGGATGTTTAGTCTAATTTTTAGAATGAGTACATGTTTTCGTTAACTAACTGTTTGCCAGGGGACCTTCATTAAAGAATAAGATGGGCATTATATATGTGAACTGATTGTTTCAATTCTAGAACTAATGAAACAAACACGTTCATAACTCATTTACCTCATTTAGGATTTCTCTATTTCTAGTCAATAATTCTGGTAAATCTGTCATTAGTTTATTTATGTAATCTATTCCTCCACCATTCTCTTTCAAAGTCCTGGCTTTTTCTAATAGGGAGCTTGGTACAGCTTCTCCAGAGAGATCCTCTATAGCTGCAGGGAGATTCAGGGAGGCCAACACACTATAATAATGATAGCAATACTAGTATCATCAGATAGCAATTTTATCATGTTACAATAGCAATATCATCAAATTACAATAACAATATTACAACAATACCAAAGTACGATCAAATGGGTAGGATTTAATAAGGTAAACTGTAAAGTAATTGTATTTTGTCATATCTCAAAAGTTAAATGCACGAAAATGTTTAATGGAAAAGCTGTCAAATGTCAAGAAATGAAAATAGCTACAGTACCATATCAAGCTGGATAGATATTAGGTGAAGAAATTGAATTGACTTAAACAAATCTTTCTATGCAATTGATGTACCTGTTAAGAAGTTGTGTCTGTTCTCTCAATCTCCCTACTTCCATGTTGATTACCTCTGCCTTCCTGTTATCAAATGTTGTAATGGCCTGATGGACTGCTAGTGGAACTATTTTCTCAAATAAATCTGAAAGTAATTAAAGAGTGTGTGAATGAGAGTCATAAAAAAGACTGCATAAACAAGAGTATTAAAAGAGAGTAAAAGAGTCATGAACTAGAATGTATTACAAAACAGGAATCATAAAAGAGATTGTGCAAAAAATAAATTCATAAAAGAGAGTGTATAAATGCGAGTAATCTGTTCCAGATAACTTACAAATATAAAGATATACATGTACAGTTTATTTGAAATGTGTGATTAATGTCCGTCACTCCATTTAGGCCATTCAAAAAGGCAAACTTTCAAAATGGGCTAGATAACTATTTTACATTTATACAATTGATAAGAACATACCTTTAAAATCTTTACTCATTGGAGCTGGTATGGGTAAAGCTTTAGCAACAGGTGCTTTTCCAATAGCTGATAGTGTGTTCCTGTCTGGTACTTTATCATGGTATATAAAGTTGTTGTCTTTCTCAGCTTCTTTCAGGGCCAGGTTGATCTTGTTCTCCTCTTTCTTGAAAGGGAATATTCCACCCCCTCTTGTCGCTGATGCTTGCATCAATTCTGATGAATGCTACAAACAAACATGAGTATGAAAGACATAGGATGAAACGTTTCAATTCTAAATTGAACAGTTAAGTATTCTGGGTATAACATTACTTGTAGAATAGAATAGAATTGACATATAAATGGGAAAAATAGATGGCAGTAGAGGTTTTGATTGGGCATGAATACTATTTATTATAATATGGAGGAGCTTGTAGACATTATTGATAACTTAGCTAAAAGCCTGATTTTTCTGTAATAAGAGTGGCGGCCGTTTTGAATTTTTGTTACATATTTTGACAAAATTTGTAGACATTGTTGATAATCTAGAAATAGAGGTACCTGTATAATTTCAAGCAAATTGCTGGAATACTTATGGAGTTATGACCAAAGACAAGCTGAAAACCTGATTTTGCTGCAACTAAAATGGCAGCCATTTTGAATCTTAGTGACTTGTTTTGCAATTAAGGTACCTGTACAATTTCAAGCAAATTGGACAAAAGTCACTTAATTCCTGATTATTAAATATTTCCAATTAATTGGATTAATGCAAAACTCTATTGGCAACCAGATGGTCTTGTTGATATCTATTGTGATTTAACATGAAAATTGCGATTCTTCAAAGAGTAAGTTAACTTTAAAGATTTTTAAACATTGCATCAATTGGGATTTAGCCCGACCTATTTCAGGAAACTTAAAAATCCTAAAAAATTGATACAAGAAAATAACTGTGCAAATAAATGTGAATAAAAATCAAACATAATCGGAAATCAAACGAACCTTGAGCCTAGCAATTTCATGGCCATATGCTTTCCTAGTCCCCTCATCCTTAGCCATGTGGTACTCTGCCATTGCATGAAAACCTGCTTGTTTGGCAGCAGCAGAAGAGATCCATTCCTTAGGCCAAAGCTCTCTCAATGAATGGAGCTGAAGCTGTTTCATTGCATCAGCGTAAAGGTCAGAACAGTGATGTGCTAGCTTGGCAACTATAGAGTCCTTCATCTTATCTGAAATAATATTTTTGTGTGTGTATTATCATTATACAACTTGTATGTGAATGTGTAGATTTATGATCCTACAGGAATACATGTAGTTCTCTCCTTCGTTGTATCCTTTTGTCTGATTGAGCATAAAGGTATAAGGTAAATACATGTAGTTGTTATTGTTTTTAGGCCTTTGCAAGAACCGATTGATATGGGGACAGTAATTCATGGGGGTCGTAATACCAAAGGTTCATGTTGAAATTCTCCTTAAAATTTGTAGCTTAACCTCCCTAGTAACAGTCATGAGAATGTTGACCAACTGTGAGCCAAAATTGGTTCTCACTATAATTGAACCTACAGACCCATTCTTGACTCTGTCCATGTAAATCAATTTTGAGATTGACAAGATGGGTGATTATTCAAGCCATGAATATCCCAATGTTCCACTGTTTTATATAACAAATGATGATATAAATATACCTATAGCAGCTTTTCTGTACACGCACTCCTGGGCCTGGGCCAATAGTAATGCACCAATGGCAGACAGAGTGTCGGGGTGAAGGTCAGGAGTTGGCTCTTGCTGGACATGGGACAACACACAGTCCTTCAGGTAATTGAATATACCAGCTGCTTGCTGCAATTAGATAACATCATTGAAGACAATAGTTACCTTAATTGAATTCAAGAACAATCAAAAATATTTCAAAATGGGTTTTTCAAGAGATAATATAACACACACAATGACATATGTTGAGCAAATGATAACTTTTACATAGTTAGAACTAGTGTTGTCGCGATTAATGCATCGCCAAAGCTGATTCTGGCGATGCATCGATGTCTGAAACAAAACATCGATGTTTTTTAAAAAATTAAACCTGCACATCGCTCCAAAACGCAATATGTTGACATATATTGTTTTTACATTTTTAAGCTCTAATATAAAGTTTATGTAAATAAAAATTGTTTTTTTCTGCGTTATATCAAAGAACAATCATTTAGTTAAAAATAAATAAAAAGGCGAATGCGGGATTCGAACCCGGGCCTCCCGCGTGCTAAGCGAGAATTGTACCCCTAGACAACCGTCTTCTTATGAATGTCGAAAGTAATTAAACGCTACTTATTTTGAATGCTATGATTCGGAAGTGACGTCACGTTCTTCATTTAGAAACTTTTCCAAAATCATATCGTCGGTGCCGATCAAAGCAATTCAATGAATAATCTTTGAAATGACACATTTATCGTAAGTATTTCTACACAAGATTTGCCCCATTTGTTCATCATTCTATAATCTTTCATTAAGCTCAAAATGATAAAGTTCACCCCCGAAACAACCCAAGATTGCGTTTCGGAGCGCAGTCCAGCTTTAAATTTGCTAAAAATCACCCTTTCTTATCTTATTTTGACGCAAATCGCTTACCTTTCTAATGTCTTATTTCATTTTCCAATGTTTTCTGATACTCTTTTGCTTTAAAACTGTTTTAGATAGTCAAAATGAACCATTAATCTAAAAAAATTAGTTTACTTTCATTTCACCGCTACTAGAAGTTCTCGGATGTACCAGCGTACTCTTATTAATTTTTTCTGTTCGGTATTTTAGTGCATTAGCGTTCGGTATTTCAGTGCACTTTTATCTGACTTTTTCTCGATGTACATCGCGATGTGCATCGATGTTTACTACTGAAAATTGCCGATGCATCGATGTATGATTATGGCACATCGCGACAACACTAGTTAGAACTGATTTGTAAAAAATATTATAAATGAATAAAAAATTCATAAAAAACATAATTCATTGAATAAAACATTGAAATGATAAGGCACTAAATATATTATATCAAAATGTTTCTTCTATTTTTCAATATAATTAATCATTTTGTACCTGATAGAGTTTAGCAGAGGTTTTAAGACCATCATCAGACTCCATGTTCTGCGACTCTGCAATCTGACTCTGAAGAGCTCCAATATTGAACAACACACATACTTTCTCATATGCAGCACTGGATAAAGCTGAAGGAAAAGAGGAATATCAAAAAGACTGAACATAGGGATGAAATGAAAAAATTTGATTTGAAGAAATTTTCACTAAGTACAGTAATTAAATGAAGTGATTCCTTAGTTATAAAGGTCAATAATACTGGGTCAGATTTCATTGATTGCAGTAACCAAATATGACAACTAGGAGTAACCAAGTATGACAACTTGGAGTATTGTGTTTTTATCTCAGAGGAGCAAAAATTACTCAGAAACAATTACTTGAACCATATATTAATTAACAAATCCATGCAAAAAAACGTTGAAAACAATAATGGACACAACTGGCAGATTTGGGGGGAGGGGGTGGGAGTCACAAAATATGGTTCTCCCTACATCGGGCAATTTAGGTAACAAACTGGTATTACTTTGGGGCAAACGTTTTTCCACTTGATTTTCAGATCCACACCTGGACAATGCCTCAAATAGATGAACTTGTATCTGCATCGGTTTATAATATACTTACTCAGTGTTCTTTTGCCAACAAAAAATGATTCTTTGTCGAAAGCATCTTGCCATTTGTAGTTTATTCTTATCTGAAAAACATGCATATAACAGTCAGAGCATATTTCTCAAAAATTGAAATCAAAAAAGTAACAGCTGTAAAAAGTCATAAAGAACTGTTTAATGATTAATCTGCAGAAAAACCTGTAAATTCAAACATCTGCATAGCTGAACAATATCAGAGTCACATGACTAATTTTCTACTGAACCTCTGTAAAGGGAATAATTTTCAAGTGGAAAACTTTTTAGGTACCAAATTTGTTCCACTTAGAAAGGTTTTATTGTACTTTCCAAGTGGAACACTTTTTAGAGGTATCAAGGAGTTCTACTTACACAGGTTTCACTGTACATATGACAAGAATGTAAAGGGTTATGATGACATATAGCATTATTAGTACACTTCTTCATTGTATAAGTGGTCTGAACAGTTCATCATTTGCATGTGACTCAGTGTATGATTTGGACTTATTTTGATTTTGAGAAAAAATATGTACTGACTACATGTATAAGTAAACTATTGCTTGCCTGAAATTATATTAGAGAAAATTGCAGGTTATTTTTGTAAATATCACTATTAACAGAATAGATATATTAAATGTAAATACATAATACAGATCAAAGAGTATTTTAGTGCACTCTGACAAGTTTTAAGTAAACATTATGTAGCTACATATAAATACTTGAATAAACAGTATTGCCTGATTTAGTTAGATCCTGTTATCAAATAAATGTTTAAAGACATCTTATTCAAGTATATACTGAACGTAGAATAGCTATGACAATTTTTCTGGTCACCATATTTTTTAATCCAATTTTTCAGGATCCAGTCTTTTCAGACCTCATTAAAAATACTGATATCTGTAGTATGTAAAAGAAAAAATATTTAATATGTCTTTTAAATGTAAAAACAATCTATCAAAATTCACCTTTCCTTTGTCATTTCATCCCAACCTATTTATTTCTCATTTTTTAGTTCTTTTTCTGATGTTCTCGTAAACATATTTTCTTCAGCTTCAGCTTGTTTACTTCATAAAATCTTCACTTTAAACATACCTGATTTTCCGAAATAGGTAACTTTGAGTCAATGGCTACCAACTGGTCATAATACCTGAAAAACAATACAGATTACAAGTACATGTATTAGAAATAGTATACTGAGGATAGACTCTTCATGGTATAGCTGGGATCTAAATATAGATCTCAAAATAAATCAAGCATGTTAGGCAAATGGTATGATGCTATGATATTATCAAAGCAGAGATATCATGTCACTAAACGGACTCTCCCTATGATTATGACAACATACCTTTCCATGTAACAAGTGATGAAACAAATATTTTGATACTTTTGATTGGTTTCATGAAGTTCTTCTCGAAGGATACACCATTTAGATGTCACAAGACAGAATATATAGCTTAGGTATTTATTTAATTATAACCACCTTGGATGCTGAATATGATGAAACCTTCTACTGAAAGTTGAATTACTATTATACGATTATAGAATTCCCATGCAATTATATATCAGTGGAATTTTTTGAGCAGAAAGTCTTCAATAATTTTTCACAATGTACATAAATGTTGACTCAGGAAGATTGCTAATAATAAATGAAAATGTCCATCGGTTAGGCTAGATTGCGACAAGAGTACAACACATAATAGACAACTAGTATTGTCGCAATGTGCCATAATTGCAGATCGTTGCGTCTGTAATTTGTAGGAATAAAGATTGATGCACATCGAACGTTATGCAGTGAATATACTGAATGCAGCAAATAAATAATACTACCTAAAACGGTGTGTGAAAACAAATGTTAAAATTGGAGGTCATTGGTTCATTTTGGCAAGCTAAAACATTTTCAAAGTGAAAGCATAAATGTTGTCGCGATTAATCGATACATCGCGATATGCATCGCCAAAGCTGATTCTGGTGATGCATCAATGTCGCTCGTAAAACCGCGTAGCAATGTTGAAATTATGGAATAGATTCTCTGAGAGTTTCGACATGTCTTCATCTTTACCATCTTGCGTTGGACACCCCTCGTTTTGGGCGAGTCCAAGTATACCGTATGGTGTCCGGGTGATTAGAAAATAGACATTTTTCAAGAAAATTCGAGCAGTGAGACAGAGTACTCTGGTCAAACTGAGTTTTTGCGAAACATGAAAGAATCAATAAAAGGTAAGTGATATACATTAGGCGGATGCCAAAAATTAAACATGGCGCCAATTTGAAACTTCAGAATGCTTTCTGTGATTCAAAATCACAAAAAAGTCGAGTGACTTTTTAGATGTCGAAAATCTTAGTATCCAACAGACGGAATATGATGATATTCGGTCTGAATTTATTCAGACGAAGGATACAGTCTATCGTGACAACACTATAGACAACAGCTCTAAATAAAATATAGCCTTGGACATGGTATTTCTTTAAGTCTATGGTGTAGTTGATTTGATAAGTTAATCATGAATTTCAGTGTCACATAGAAATGAATCATTTTTGACAACTCACCTGTACAAAACTTCCAGGGCAGATTCATGTTTGTCTAAAGACTTCGATATCATTTGATTACGAAGTTTGTTGAACTCGGAAATGGCATTGTTATAATCCTCGGGACTTGCGTTAGCAAATGTGTTTGAAATAAAATTCTTAAGAGGCTTAGTGTGATCTAATTCCCAGGTTTTCTTCAGAGGAACTGCAATAAATTCACCGGCCATTTTGATGTTTGGTCATGTGACCCGGAAGTAAAAGAAATCTAAAATCCAAACTTCAGAATAAAATTCCTTGATTGTTTGAGATAATACACTAAATGCATATGTTTTAATTATAGTTTATTCATATTGCTTATTTATTTCATATATATTGAATCTAAAATCTTCCTTTGAACATAGAAAGTATTTCATTCCACCATCACAATTCAAAAGTTTGGCATCCAGTGACAACCTATATGGTCAAAAAATAATATCAAAATGTGCTCATGATTTTCTCAATAAAGTGTATTTTAGAGAGATAATTTCTCTCATATAGATATTGCATGCGGTAAGTAATTTGAGAACCCATATATAAACACCCATAAATATCGTTGTTGTGTGGTTTGATGTGTCTAAAATCTTAATTCAAAAAGTTTCAAACTTCCATGTGTTTTATGAATGAGTTTCAGTGTAGTTTTATGAATGGATGGAAATTACTTTATATACAAAATGATAAGTTCTAAACATGGCTTAACTGATTCAAAACTGAAAGTAAAGCTCCATCATTTTGGTAAATGACATGGAAAGTGTTATTTATGCAATATAAGAATAGTTGAATATTTTTGAGTGGAACAACAGAATTATTCTGAAAGTTCCTTTTGTTCTCGCATAACTCATTCAATCAAATGCAGCATTTTATTATTGATCATGTTGCAAACAACTTGTCAGTTGATTATTTGTAACGCTGAAAAATGGCGTAGCCAGGGAGGAAAAAACGATGAGGCAAGAAGCGCCTTGTGTGTTACTCGAGTCTCTAGCTTACAGCTAGACGAAACTTCATTGATTTCGTATGTACTGTGCTACACGCACCTAGAACTAATTTTTAATAAATTTTATAAATATTTTTAAGAATATTAATCATATTTAGGCTGAAGCGTTGCTTGTCTGGATTTAGATATTTCAAAATTTCATTTCGGAGTTTGACACATGGTGAAATTTTCTCGCTGTAGCTAAAAATGGCTTCCGGTTCTGGACGTGAATAACATTTGAAATTATTCTCGCTTAAAGAAATCAAATATAACAATAGATTCAGACTGGGATGTGAGCTGATGTTCTTCAAATCTATACATAAAGGTATATTTCATATTATTATGCCATATTTACTGTGCGTGTGACACAATGATTTACAATATTTATAATACTAAGGCAGCTCAATCTTCCTCCTCAAAGCCGGAATATAGAGAAGGCTTTGGACCGAAGTAACTTGTGTGCATCATCTACTTACAACATCCTTCTATTATTTAGATTAAAAGATGACGGCTACATAACTTAGACAGAAATACAAATTTGTAAATAAATATGATGGCAAAAGAAATGCACTTTACATGATGAGATTATGCGAAAGCGAAAGGAATCAAAGATAAAAATTGATAAAAATTAAACAATAAATTCACAACTCAACATTGTTAAAGAGCTGCATGCGCCTTCTCTTGATTTGACAGAATTGTCAATTGAATTCCGCCCCAGCCATGACTCTTACTCTGCATAAGTCGCACTCATTTTATGAGTGTCAAACTTGGGTATCAGTGGCATGCTATGTCCTGTAGTTGGGATTGCGAATAATAAGGTTGCATATCACAATGATTTTCGCAAAAAAATGTTTTAAGGATTAATATTGATATACTAGAGAGATTTCGCACCTAGTGAAAGTACAACTTATAACGTATACTTATACTTATAGGTAAAAGTACAAGGTGTTTCATAATGTGAGCTTTTCGTCAGGAAAGATCTTCTCGGACTGTAATAAATACAGGTCAAAGGGATGCCATTTGTACTTTCTTGAATCGTAGCATGTTTAGTTGATCCAAATGTGTTTGTCTAGAATAAAATAGGCTCATATACAGGGTGTCAAATAAGTCCCGTCCCCCCCTCTACAGCTAGAACCAGGATATTTGGAACCAAGTGTGATATATCATTGGAAAGGTCTTCCAAAGTTATGTTGATTGGCATATATCTGACACATGTCAATCAATCTCACAAATGTTTACATTGTATCAATTGAGGTGATCATATGCCTAGAAACATGGCAGTTTGGCGCATTTGGCCGGATTTTAAGAATCTGGAATAAGAAAGGTCAGGGACCAAAAGATGACTAAATATGTTTATGGCAATGATTTTAACCAATTTCCGGATAGGGTTAGATGTGTAGAAAATAGAGGTGCAAGGAAAGTGGTGAAAACCTTTTTGTAACAAGTGGAATGCGAAAAAGATTAACTTTTTGACGTATTTCTGAGGTCATATCCTTGTCATTTTGACGCAAAAAAGCTACTTAAAGGAGGGCACGTTAACTATAAAAGACATCATAAAAATATAGGTAAATTTCATCCAAAATACTTGATAGTTGGTGAGTTAACATAACTTTGGATGATCTTTCCAATGGTATATCACACTAGGTACCGTCTGTTAAGGTTTTAGCTGTAGCAGGGGGGACGGGACTTATTTGACACCCTGTATAGTACATATGTTATAGACCCATCTCTTCTCAAATTGACTTTTTGGAGATGCTCGTTATGAAACACCCTGTATGTCATATGTTGAGCTACTGAATGGGTCGTTTCCAGGAATTGCTAGAACCTACTGGTTTGATTGGTGTTTCAAATTGATGGTTAAAGTATTTGATTGGATACTGTTCCCACTCGGCCAATTAATTCTAAAAAATGCTTGTGGTCAATTGTTCCACACACATGTAGGCAAATCTTTATACGGAGATCCAACTGTATACGTTATCATCTACGTTAATATACCGTTTTGTAAGTTCATTGAACTTATACTGATCATGAAAACATTGAAATAATCAACTTGTTTATGTAATGACTCACTTTAAAGAATCATGACTCCCTTTAAAGGATCGTGTTTATAATACACTACAACTACAAGGACATGGAAGCAAGCATTTAATTATAATGTGCAAAATCTACATGTGCAGATGACAGTGCATTCATAGTCTCTAGTTGATGGAGCTTTTCTATAACGGGAATCGTTATGTTCCATTAAGTACAATTTAAAATTGATTTTAGTAAATATAATAGTTCGACATGACCCTTTAAACTATACGTATAAGTTGTACTTTCACTTATGTGCGAAATCTCTCTACTGACAGCATCATATCTTAGTTAAAACATTAGTGAAAACATTCAAATAGAAAGTTACACGATATTTGTGTAAGAAATAACTCCCTATCAGTATCAATGTCAATATATGATAATGAAATGGCTGAACTACTTTTAATCTAATTTTTTAGAGGGGTGATACAATGACGTTATAGTCTGCCAAGGTAACAACTATGACATCACGGGACACACAGACAGCTGGAGACAAGGATTATGAAGAAATCTGCCAAATTGGTTCTGGGGCATTTGGAACAGTGTTTAAAGCGAAAGATCCGAACAATGATGGCAAGTTCGTAGCTTTAAAGAAGATCCGAGTCCAAATGTCTGAAGATGGAATTCCAATGAGTACAATACGAGAGATTGCTCTTCTAAAGCAGATTGAAGCCTTTGAACATCCTAATATTGTTAGGTATAACTTATTATTGCACCTTATTACATATCATTATATTGAACCGGGTGTACATACCTGGGTGTGAAAATGTAATAGGCGACAGATTTTTATTTTTTCTATAAAAATACATTTGTTTTTGTTATATCAGTATTATGTAACTAAATATTTGAAATCTGACTGACTGACACTTTCAATGCAACTTGTGTATGGTTCACTTATTATTGATGGGTTATCAAATGCTAAAATTATATGTATATCCATGTCATACATATGTGCCCCAATAGTCTTGCATAACACCAGAAAAACAGCTAAATGTGAAAATATATGTATTTATCTATTTTAGATTGTTTGACATCATAGTAGGCAACCGTCCCAGGGGAAGCAGAGAGGCCAATGTTACACTGGTGTTTGAACATGTGGACCAAGATCTAGCATACTACCTTGAAAAATGCCCCTCTCCTGGATTAGGCCCTGATAGAGTTAAGGTAAGTACAGCTTTGAATACATATAAATCAGGATGAACAATAGGCGTGAACATAGTGGGACACTCTTCTCTATGGATGTAATGGGTGTAACTGTCGCAGGTGGAAATATTAACTATAGAAACAGCTGGTCATCTTCAGTTGTACATGAACTGTGCAAGTTGTAAACACAGCGTCATATAGTTGAGTGATAAAGACCAAGATTCTTTGATATGTGATTAAGGTATGTGGCAGTGGCCAAAAAACCATTTCCCCGCTTCCATCACCTTCAATTGATTTAATGTAACATCATTAGCTCACATGGTGATTTTGTATATCTGAATCATGAATATTCATTAATATGTCACTAAGTAAATGGTGCAACCCCAAACCCATATACAAAATACAAATAACTGTTTATGTACTACACAAGCAGAGTGAATGAATAAGAAAAAATCTCTACTTTGTAGGACCTAATGAAACAGCTGCTGTTAGGGGTAGAATTCTTGCACTCCAGAAGAATAGTCCACAGAGATCTGAAGCCCAAGAATGTCCTAGTCACGAACCAGGGCCAGATTAAACTGGCAGATTTTGGCTTGGCTAGGGTCTACTCATTCACAATGGCATTGACTTCTGTGGTGAGTTTCCCTTCTCCTTGATATTTTAGATTTTGAATCTTTTATTATGGTCTCTTAATAATACTAGCTTTATGTTAGAACATTTTTGGGGGTCAGAATATTCTTATGGATCATTTAACAAATAAGATAATCCAGTGTAGTGTGACTCATTGAAACAATTCAAATAAAAGGCAGAAATATCAATTTAAATTAAGTAATTAAATTTCAAACATTGTCAGCGAGCTAAATGACATAAACTTACCAAATAAGGACTTTCCATATTTGGGATTATCATATACCCAAGGTGAAGGTCAAAATGGAATTTCTCATCATGAGAACAACATGAACAAAGGACATGGCCGTGTTAAACTATTTCTCTCAAGAATGGTGATCATTTGATAAAATAGAAAACTAAATGTGACATTATACTTTAAGGTGGTGACATTATGGTACAGGGCACCAGAAGTGTTGTTACAGTCTGCCTATGGTACAGCTGTAGATCTTTGGAGCTGCGGTTGCATATTTGCTGAACTCTTCAATAGAAGGTGAGATATTCTTCAGAGAACATTCTATTTCCATTCAGTAAATAAAATCTAAAATCTAAATCTAGTTTGAACAGGTTATTTTTATCAAGTAAGATCTTTATTTTCATTTTGCAGGATCAAATTGTTAAAATGTGAAATGTAAGCAGATTTTTAATTGCCAATTATTTCATTTGAAATACTCTGCGTTGTTTAAAGAATCAAAGGAAACACAGTCAAACATTGAATAAGATTCCCTTCAGAATAGAAATTAAATATCACGAAATTGTGTTTCTTTTCCAGACCTTTATTTCGTGGTGAAAGTGAGGTTCAACAACTACATGAAATTTTCAAGTAAGACATTTTATACATTCTACAGAGAACATGCCAATATGAACTTTAATGCCACAACAAATGGCAGGTGGTGACATTTTGCGTGTCAATACCTTGTGTACTGTTACGATATCAACATATATCAACAATCACAGTAATAATATTTCTTTACAATTCCCTAATAGCTATATTTCACTTTTTAGTACACAAAAGGTTTGTATAATTTACAGTACAGAATCACTTACCTGTTTGTATTTTATCTTTGGCAGTCAATATTACTAAAGGTGTGAATAACGTGACTGTTTACTTTTTTAGAGTTATGGGTTCCCCTTCAGAGTGGCCTGAGAACTGTGCTGTACCCATGACTTCATTTGCCAGATATACTGGTCAGCCTATAGAGAGCAAGGTGCCAGAGATTGACCACAGGGGCAAAGATTTACTTGAAGTAAAAATTCAGTTTTTTTCTAATTTTTGATCCAATTTAAGGAATTTTTATTCAATTTACTCCAGGGATTTTTTTTAGTTTAAACATACTCATAATTTACTCCACTCCACTAATGCAATTCTTTCACATAGTCTGAAGCATTTTGATACACTGACTATTTATAAAATTAACACCTCGTATTGCAATGGGGTATTCTCAGTTTAGAGAACGAAGTTCATCACCCCAATTGAGCGTTATCCCTGCTTCGGACAAATTTGATTTTTTACGTAATAGAGATTTGAATGTCTTCTTTTCAATAGTCATAATTTAATTTGGGTGATATTTTTAGATTTTTCATAAAAAAATTATTAGCGCAGTACACTGATGAACTTCTTTCTCCAAATCGAGACTTGTATTTTATTGAATCGGTCTACTGCATCGTTATCCCTGCTTCGGACAATTGTGACATTTTTACATCTTGTAGATTGAAATGTCCTCTTTTGAATGTTCATAATTTAATTTGGGTGATATTTCTATATTTTTCATTAAAAAATTATTAGCCCAGGAGACTGTTCTTCAAACCGAGACTTGTCCTTTTGGTAGCCATCAAATGCTCTCTACATTGATTTTTTATGTCATCACCCAAGAAGTTGTTGTATAATATATTGTTACAGCCACTGGATTTTTGATCAGTGTTCATCATTTGAAATCTGTACCAAATTGTTACACTTTTGTAACCATTTGCAATACCTTACCAGATGTTAACATTTTGTCATACCAGTGCTTTGTTTTTAAATAAATGTTGTCAAGATAACAAATGTGATTCATGTCATTAGGATCATAGATGTTTTAAGGCATTTTTGATATAAATATCTTTCAATGTATTTTTATTTTATAATTTCAGAAACTTCTTGCATATAATCAGCACCAGAGGCCTAGTGCAGAAGATGCCCTGAAACACCCATATTTCACTTCGGAAACCGAGTCCCCCATATCTAGGAGTGCCTTTGCGAGCCCTGTAGAATCCACCTCCCACTTCCTTCAACAAGACTCACCATTCTCGAACCTCTTTAACAATAATGGCCAACAGGGGCGCAACAACATTGATAATAGTACCAGAGGCTGTGGATTTTTAGAGCCTCGTTTTGATTCTAGCAGACGGCATCATGGAAATGAAATATTGGTGGGCGGTAATGGACATGGATATGATACAATTGATGGAAATATTACGGATAATACACAGAGACCATTTTGTAACCAAAATGGTCAGGTAGGTGGGTCAAGTAGCGGGGTAGCCAACCCTAACACAGGGGGTAGTCAACTGTCAAGTCGCAAGTCTTCCTCCTCAGATAGTGATTCCAACCTCATATGTAATGAAGACCTGGGATAGAACTGTGCTAGAGAGCATTTTATAATGTATAACTCCCACTCATATCAGATGCTATGACATACATGTGCATGTCTATGTTGAGAGTACCTCATGTATGTAGCTCACACAAGGGACCAATTCAGTCTATTAGTCTTCCATGTAATATAATCTAGTAAAGGTTTTAACAAGCCTCATAAGTCAAAAGTGTAATAATATTGATCAGGTATAACATACAACTCTTCAGAATGGCATAATCATTGGGCATAATTTCCCAGATAGAGTGTAATCATGTCACGCTCACACATAATTGTCTCATGGTATTAGGGCATGCATTTTCAGGTAATATTTACAGTTTGGTCAATGGTTGCATTTGGTCTGTCTGGTCGACTGCAAAAACAAAGGCTTGCATAATTGGTATTTCACCTTAAATTTTGTGAAATTCAGAATATATTTTGCATTTTAATACGGGAAATAGGAATTTCTCAAATGTGAACTTTTGTCTTCCATATTTAAGTATCAATTTTCAATTTAATATATGCATATTTCATATATAAAGGGTGGGCTTATTTACCTAAAACCATTTTATAATCATCCCAATACCAACTGAATGAAAGCATAAGCCTATAAAATTTTCTTTTGAAATGAGTTAAAACTTAAAAACTGATTTTCAGATTTACTAGAATTCAGATTTACAACTCATAAGGTTATCTCCTATTTCAATTTAAAATATTTGAGCAGTGGATGAACTTTGGATAGCATCTGTTATGGAAAAGAAAATTAGATTTAAAATCAAGAAGTTACATGTATGAAAACGGTGTTCATATTTTTTTGCGATGAATTATCATCAATGAAATAAGTAAATAAATTAAATACTGTATACAGCCAGATTGTAACATATTTTACAATGTTACCTAGTTCATGCTCATAGTTCTTATGTTTTGAAATTTTGTTTCAACTCAATCTGTGTGAAAAGCATTGAGAGTCATACTGCCAGGCCCATAGGCAGCTTTTGCCAAGGTGATTCAATTTTTGTCCCAATACCACTTGAAAAGTGCTCTAAATGGTTAAAACTGCATGATTGTGAAAGAATTTCTGGCCAGAGGGTTTGCTTGAATAACCAAATCCCCGATACCAGCTATGGGCCTGCACTTCTCTGTTATCTTACACAATTTATTACTTTTATAAGCTGTTGCCTGTCCCAGCTTTCTAATGCCAGTATTACTAATCATAAGGCCTACTACATGTACTATGCTTTGACAGTATTGCTCAACTGACATATCGCTTCAGTATTTCCATGATGTCATAATAGCTTTAGAAGTGTTATGAATAATGACCCCTCGCTAGTTTAGCATGAAAGGATGGTGCGGCTATTTTTTATTTTACCAAATATTGAAACATTTATTAAGCATGAATTCATTAAAGGAGTCAGTCAGACAGAGAGAGAAACTGAATTCAAAAATTGTTTTGACTGTACTAAAATGTACCCAAATGTTTCACATCCCATTCCAGTAAATACAAAGATCTTAACATTAATGTGTTCATTTTTTTATAAACATGGTTTGCCACATGACTGTGTTCTTTTTGCTGAATTTGAACTTTTTGGCTTGCACAATTAAATATATAGTAGTGATATTAGTTTTTACCCAATCTACCTATTGAGGCGACAAGATATGTTAACAATAACAGACGGCTTAATATTAATTAGGACATAACATAAAACAAAATGCTCTATTTTGAGAAAAATTACAGTGCTCATAATGATGTAATTTTGATCAATAATTTTGATGATCATATTTTATGAACAAATGCTTCATTGTGAAAGAACTGTATTTCAGGAACTGTGATCTATGACATCTTCATGAGATATGGCCTAAGTGCAACTGCATTTTTATCAAGCACACAGATCAAAAAACTACAATATAACCTCAATAACCCCCACCCCCCCCAGTGAACAGATTCATAAATACCTTTCACTTCTCTGTAGGGCTCTTCTAATTCTAGGTTGCAATTCCTGAAATTTTATTTCACCATTGTAGCAAAGTTTCACTCGTCTTACAGAAACACATTTCTGGCATTTCTGTTCCTTTACAGTTCTTACTTCCCTGAATGCTGTAAATGGATGCTGTTTACTATAAACATGTTTTACAGTTTTGCCTATTACATAATATAATGAGATTATAAGGACCAAAATAAATAAGTCCAGGGACCAAGTATACATTGTGATACTAGTTAACTAGGAACAAATATGATTGTATTTTTATAGATAACTAAATGAAGAACAAACTTATTTTTATAATCTAGGAGGATTTAAGTGAAGACACTGGGGATTTAACCTTTTTACTAATAATTTACCAAAAATAGTTTTCTCAGATTTGTTTTCTCATTCCTTAACAAACCAGTCCCAAAATATTTTTTTAGAAAAAGATTAGGCCCCCAGTGTCTTATACAACAGTGCCCCTTTAATAAAGATGTGCACTGTGTAGTTGGTGTGTTCAATATGCTGTGTTCAATATTTTATGTTTAATATGCACCATAAGAAAAAAAGGGTTGTCCAAAAAGTTGGCTTTTCAATAATGTTTTATTGAATAGACCATTCCAATAAATCCTGAAACCTTTTTACGGTGAACAAAAAATTAAGGTATATTGTCTCTGATATATGATTTCATACTTTACAGGCAGAAATGTTTATAAACAGAATTGTAAATGATATCAGACATCACCAATAGGTGGCATGGTTGAATGGGTTGCTATATCGATTAAAGTATTACAAGTAAACATTAAACAATGAGTTGGAAAGGAAGAATCAACAGAAGTATTTATTATTCATTGACTCTTCCTAGTATAGTAGCTCACATGCATCTAGATTTAGACCTGAACCCAGGTTCTAGATTGTTAAAGTATGTACAGATTAACTATTTATAACATAATACCTGAGAATTCAACTTTGCTATTATACTATACTTTATTGCCTGCATTTGCAGCACATCAGATAACAATTGAATTATTGTTTTAGAGCATATGCAAAGGCACCTTTGGATCATTACTCGTATTGCCAGTCTGCTAATTAGCAAATAACAATATTGTGTTCCATATTACAATTTACTACCACTGTTCAATAGAAAAAAGAACTTTTCACCGTATCTTTTTTCAGAACGAATTATTTTTATATCAATATTTTAATGTTGTAAAAATATGTGTTGTCTCCATTAAATATTATAGTGTAACCACTGTGCAGTTGCATTCTATATTTTATTTAGCCTTATGTACTCTGTATTATGCTCGTCTTGTTGTTTATTCTGTTTTATTCATGAGGACCAATAGAAGATACAGTTAAACCTGAGTATATGGAACACCCCTTGTAGTGTACTTGAAGTATGGTTCCTTCAAGAGAACAATTACTTTCAAAGAGGCTTCACTAACATGCAAGTCAATGGGACTCCCAGAACTGGTACTTTTGAAATCGGTTCCATATAGAGAGGTGTTCCTTACAAAGAGGAGCTCCATCAGACAAGTTTAACTGTACTCTTTTAAAATCCTAATGGATAAATTAACTTTGTGTTACACTACATCTGCTATGTTTACTTCGCAACATACATGCAGTCTTACTTCACCCATATATCGTAAGAATTATTTTTGTGCCAGATATTTGAAAGTCACTTGTTGCTGTGCATGATGAAGTGCCATGTATGAAGTATTATAATAATGATGAATTACTTTAATGAAATATTGTAATGTAGATTGTCAAAGTCTCCATAGACTAGTATTATGTATATATTAGTGCTAAATACAGGAATACTTAGCTCAACTATTACTCAGTATGTAAGTAAAGCATGTAAGGCAATTGCTGTTAGACGCGATATTACATTTTTGCCATGCAAAACAAATTCATGAATTCAAGGTGGTTATATATATATATGTATAAGCCTGAAAATAACTTAACGATGAAGAACATATATGATTTTATATTAAAATGTTCATGACACAATTTTGTTCTAAAATCAGGCAAAAAGGTTGGTGCCTTAAAAAACATTTTTATTAAAGTGGAAAAATGTATATGTCCTAAAAACATTCATCAAACCATTGTTGTAAAAGCTAAACTACCTCTAATATCCAATGTCTATAATCTTAAATGAATGCTTCCTTGATCCCGTATAATATTTATGAACATAAAAAATGAATTACAGTAAAACCTTTGCATCTCAAAAAGTGTTCCATATTTATATATGTATACCGTAAAACCTGTGGAAGTGGAAATAAGTAAGTATAAGTATACGTGGAAATAAATACCCCTAAGGACGTGTCCACTCAAGGAGGTTCATTTTATTTTACATTAAGTTAATATAGTAATGCACTTTCAAATGCTCTGATTATGAAGCTGTTGTGTTCTACTTTCTTCATTTGTCTGCATATCCTGTGATGATTAATATTTCACGTTTAAATACAATACATTTACATTAATTTGAATTGTAAAGTATGGGATATAGGATATTTCCAGTATCCACCCATCTTATTGGGGTTTGGAAAATTCCTAGGAAATGTGATTTTGATCATAAACAGATTAGCCCAAAATGAGATAAAAAAAAGTATGATTCAATCTTCTAGCTCAATCTAATCACCTTTATTAACACAAAAGGTGTCCAGGTTCCGGTTTTACTGTAATTCAAAAACTGAAAAAAATGAATTATGCAAAATGTGCCTTGATGAGATAATAATAACATGTTTGTTTGTTTGTTTGTTTGTTTGTTTGTTTGCTTATTGTTTGACAAGGCCTTCAACAATGAAGTAGCTACAACAGCCTATCTGATCATCTTTAAATGAACTTGCGCGTACATGTATGTATACATATATATATAGTGGTCTCCAATACAAAATAAGTAAACTAGTATATGTATTGTAAACTAGTTCAGTAAACTAGTACAGTCTACAACACAAAACTGGTATGCCAAGTTGTTTACAATATTTTATAGATTTTGTATAATCTGTGAAAGTTCATTGATATCTGAACTTAGTGTTTGTGCCTTCCTGCTCGATTTACACTACAATAATGAATATACAATGAGTATTATACAATGTATTCATTGCAGGACATTAAATATATTAGTATCATAAGTTATAATAGTATTGTATAACCTTTTTGAATAAGTTCTTGAGTACTTGAGGAAGTTTGAAAAACAAATCATCAATGTATTTTGCTATATCATCGCAACAAATATATCACCAACATACTAGACAAGTACATACATCTAGATGTTCTGTATGGTAACCCTAACTTTATCAGAAACAGTGTTTCACATTTCGCTAATGAACGGAGTATTTTCAAATTAAAGCAGCTCAGTTTCTTACAATACACTAACATCCAAAACATTCAAAATCCAA